CACTTTCTTGTCAGCCCTCTTTATGGGTGAAAGATAATATTCGTACGTTGCTAAAACCACACTCAGAAGATATCCATTTCAGTCCTTATTCACTACTGTCCGTTCCCACCAATTAAACTGTTTATTCCAGGAGAAAAATAATATATGTGTATATACACACAGATAAATAAATTAAACCATCCTTTTAGCCCATTAGCTTGTTGTAATGGCAGTGGATTAAATCAACTGCAGCTGACTCTTACTCAGGTTTCACCATAACAGCTAACTATTTCCTAGAAAATGAATTTATTTGTCTGCATGTGGCAGACATCATGAGGCTGTAAGTTGCCATGCTTTCATGGGTTGCTAGGAGCAAACAGCCCAGCTGCCAAATGGCTGGGATGGCTCTTATGCACTTGGGTGGCACTTTTCAAATGGCCTGCTGGCTTCTTTGCTAAACGGGTCCTAACAACCGGAGGTGGTGCAGGGCATGAGGATCATTTTGGGCACAAGGATCATGTGCATGTGGGAATTTCAATGGGACCTGCCTGGTGGCTTTAAGCACACGAGTTGTTCCTCTGCAAGCTGGCTACTCAGGGGCTGGGAGTGGGGCTGGGGCTGGAGATGGAGATGGGATGTGGCAAGTGGGCAGGATGTGAAAAGGTAAGTCCCTGCCTGTCTCATCCAGACATGAGGAGTTAGACCTGCTGAGACCTCATCTGGCAGCTCTCCAGCATCAGGTTTAAGGTGTGCTGGGGCCTCTTCATGGGCTCTGGGTAACCTGGGCGGCAGAAAAAAACCCTGTGTCTCCCTTCTGTTCTTCTGCTTGTCGTTAGGTCTGTATGTCTCCTCCTGCTCAGACTTGTCTTGTCCTCTTCCACTGGGCTTCCACCATTCATGAAAACCATGCAGAATGAGAGATTTGATATTGCATGGGTTTTTTTGAGACACACCTTCCTTTCAACCCCGTTTGGGTGCAGGTACCCAGGAGCTGGAGGGTGGTGAGGGTGGTGGTGGTCAGGACTGCCCCATGCTGGACATGGCCCATCCCAGCCAGCTCCCACTGACCCACCACAGGACATGGCAGAGCCTTGAAGCCACGATGACAGCACCTCCGGGAAAGCGTGTGCAAGAAAGGCTGGAAATCACCCCATAAGCAGAGGAGGAGGGAACAAAGAGTGAGAAGGAGCAGAGAGTGCCAAGGCCAGATGATGATGACGATGATGAGCCCCATGGTGGAGCAGATATCCATCCACACTGCAGCTTGTGGAGGACCGCATGACACTCCCTGAAGGAACTGCAGCCTGTGGAAAGGAGACGACACTGGAGCCGGGGAGGAGCATGAGGAGGAAGGAGCAGTGGAGATGGACCACTGTGTACTCACTGACTATAGCCACCTTATTCACCCATCCTGCCTTACCTGTCCAGGGGACGTAGAGGAGTTGGCAGTGAAGGAGTGAAGCTGGGCAGAGGAACAGGGGGAGGAAAGGTGCTGGTTTAGTGTTTGCCTCTTTGTTTCCCACTACCAAATGCAGTGATTAGATATTTATTTTAATCAGCAATAAAGTAATTTTCTCCAGGTGGAGTCTCTTTTCCCCATGGCAATAACTGCTAAGCAGTCTGCTTGTCTTCATTGTCACCCACAAGCTTTCTCATTAATGTTCTTCCTACTTTCTCCATCCCACAGAGGGGAGGAGTGAGGTGGATGGGAGTTTGCTTGCCAGCCAAGGCTAACCCATTATACCCAAAAATCCTTTCAAAGAAGTCCTGCTGCTTAGTGCCATTTTGCTTGCTATTGGGGCTCAAATACTAGACATGATCTTACACTAACCCTGCAAACTGTACTCAATACCTCACTCTCAGCTCCACAAAGGGAGACACATCCATTCTGAGTGCTTGTTCCACAAATCCCTTCATTGCATTCAAAGGCTCAAGCCTTTCCTGCCAGTTTTCTGTATCTGCTGGCTGTGAACAGTGGCAGAGGAAGGTATTTCCAGCCCTACCTACCAAAGGGAGATGAGGATGGCTGGTAGGGCCGCTGCATAAGGCTGGTCCTGTGTGTGCATCTCATTTTCCTACAAGCCCATTATCCCGTTCAGGCATGGAGGCAGAGCTGTGGGGACTTGCTTGCCTCTGTGGCCTCTGTAGCTTAACATTGCTGGAGCCGTCTTTCTATTTCCAGCAAAAGCTGGAATGGGTACACTTGAAAGGCTACTTGGGATTCCAGCAAATTCACAGACAGTGAAGGGCTACAGCTATACTGAAGGAAGAAAAAGGTGTAAAACCAGAGAGAAACAAGAAAGCAAAGAGACCAGCCTGCAAAAACCCATGGACCAGCGTTGGTGGGACAGGTGAAGAGGGTACCTGTGTTGGGTAGGAGTTTAGAGCACGATGAAGTGTGCTGTGAAACAAGGAGAGATACACACACGCCACCCAGGCAAAATGCTCTTCCTGGTTGCTGGGCTTTTCGATTGTCTTCTCTGTCCTGCCTCACTCTGCAACCAACTGACCAGCTAACCACAGCTTCTCAGTTGCTAAACCCTTTCTGGGAACATTTCTTTTTCCAGAATCCTTCACGATGGGCATAGTGATTTTAGCACTGGGTAAGGAGGGATTTGGGATTTAGGTTTGTTTTTTAAGTTTCTTCTTCCCTTTCACTTTTTTTTTTAAATTTCAGAAACATCCCTCCTTACTATTGGACCAAACTAGGATCTTTTTGAGTCAGAAAGCTAGAAACCAAGAATCCTAACCAGGTAAGCTGAAAGCAAAGAACAGGGGCTTGATATGCCAGCTGAGGCCCATAGTCACCGGACTCCTGCAATGGCTCAGACTTTTTTTCTGGCTGATTCACTTTCTCTAAAGAGGACTAGAAATGTTCCATGCATTGCACTGCTTTGCATAGTCCCAAAACACATTCAGTTTCACAGTTTCTAATATTTTCCAAATAGCTCCAAAAATAGTTGTTTTCATGTAAAAAAAGTGTGTGCTTCCTGATGACGGGCAGAGTAAGCTGTGTAGTAGCCTAGGAAACGTGAACCACTTTCCATTTGCCGCTCCTCTGCAACACTTAATTCTCCCAGACACTGAAAGCACAGCAGAATCAAGTCTAATTAACCTCCACTCTCAGCCTGACTCCTTGATGTGATATAGTTCATTTAAATCTTGTCCTTCATGCTCCTCTGCTCTCCTGCTTCATCCTTACTGAAGTGCATATGTGGATTTCTAATAACCCATGTTTAGATGGATGATTGGTAACTAATTCATATGACAAATTAGAGAAATGATGCTTTGTGCAACAAAGGGTTTTCTTTGCTTGTCCACTTGAAAATCAATTTATGAAACTTTTTCTTTCTTTTCTTCCCAACCAGAAGAAAAATAATTCCTTCTTCATCTTTTATTAGTAGTTTCAAGTTAGAAAGTCTTGGAAAATCAAGCCTTGAAATTTGTAGGGAAACTAGCATGAAAAAACTATTGAGATGTTTTGACTTTCTCAGCATTCCTCCTACTTCCTGGGCTTTTGGAAACGGAAACAATTCCCCCAAATTTATAAACATTTGCTAAATGTTTCTGAATCCATTATTTGTTTGGAAAAAAGAAAATGGATCAAACAAGTCAACCCTAATTGTGCATCCCCTAGAGATAATAACACTTTGGCAAACAACAGAAGAGACACATAAATAATCCCATTTTGGATTTCTGCTTTGTTTTCCTTGGGGATTCTCTGCAGGCAATGGATAATGAGGAAGAGGTATTTTTGCACCCAAATGAGGTAGAGTTATTTCTCCATCCATAAATGCTTTCAGCAGCGTATTTTTTTTTCAGTTCAGTTCAGCACTGTGAACTGTCATGTACAGGACATACTGACATTTAGAGCATTGAGTTTCTCAGAAATTTCTCAGAGTTACCTTCCCAGGAATGAAGGTAATAATGCTGTGCTATAATCCAGACAAAAGCTTTTAAATACCCTCCCCCCCCCCAATATCTCATTTTTCATTCTGATATGAAAAGGGAAAAGTTCTGTGATCTCCTACAGTTTTAATGGGGAGTAAAACCATTTTCTGACTGCCTTTGACCCCCCTCTCCTGAAATGGCACTAAATGTTTCCTCTTCTTTAGAGCCACACGCAAACCCCTCTGGGAGACAGTGTTAAAACTACTTTTTATTATGGTCTGTCTGCTCAGTGGGCCTTCTTTATATTTTTGATGTATCTTCCTTTTTGTTCCTAAAATTGGAATAGAAGGCAGATGTACATACAGAACAGTTATATTTGTAACAGACATGCTTTCAACTAACTCTTCTGGAAAATTACGCTATTGACAAGCTGTCTCTTGTGGCTGAAGCACTGTGGTTACCAAGGCTTTGCCACTTGCTGTGTTCTCTAGACGATAAGGTCACATCTAAGAATGCTGATAGTCCTGTGGTCCCACTTTTGCCTTAAAGCCTTCACAATCAGACTCTGGGGGGAACTGCTTCCCTGAAACCAAGTCAGCACCTCACTAGGACGTGAAGCACTGCTCCCAAAGACACTTACAAAGTTTGGTGAGTCTGAGCTTCAAATGGAATGGCTGCTTGCCCTTCAGTAGCCCAGTCTATTTCCTCAAAAACTCATGCCAGTAAGAAGGATATTAGCATAACATTAGTAAGTGAATGGTAAGGGAATTTAAATTAATATACTAGATGTCTAGACTACTGAATAGGTTTGGTTTGTATTTCGGCCCAAGGACACGGAAACAAAGGTGTCAGTTGCCCCTCACCTGGCATCTGGAGGAAGGTTACCTACTGTTCTTGGTGAGGAAACCTTGTTGCAGAGCAGAGGGACATTCCCTCCAGTGGCTGCACCCGGCAAACAGTATGCGGGTGAGCCAATCTCTACCAAACCACATGGGCACAGGGCTGCTTCAGGCATGAACCACAAAGGCAGCGCAGACTTACTTAAAAAGAGTCCAAGGTCACACTCAGCTCCTTTAAGAGACATTGTGAACGGATGGTTTTGGCTACAAACCAAGCATCTTACAACATCATATAGTGCAGAAAATGACATTTCCAAGTGTATTTATTGAGAAATAGTAAAGTTGTACATAATTTTACAAGCTTTTTAATTTACATTTTCTTAAATTATGTAGGCCCTAATAAACTATAATCTGCTAATACAAGACAGAGACCCTTGGTTTCAATTATACCTCCAAAATGCTGCTATTGCTGGGATTTTGGCTCGTGTCAGTTCAGCTCCTCTTCAGAGATACTAAATACCATACTCATTTAGAGCATATGCCTGGTGTCAATCCTGTAAAGCAGAGACGATTTTTGAACCTAAACCCTATATCTGGATACAACCTCACAGCTAAAATCTAGTCTTTGTATCATGGGCCAAGTCCATATTCTCCATAAACTCTGCAGTTCTGTTTGGCTGCAGGACTTCATCTGCCCTGAGATGAAGTATACTTGTATACAGGATTTTGATTTGGCCTCATCTCCCTTGTCAGTGCTTGCACTGGAACATACTCCACAACTGCTTTAGATGCAAACACTACTTCTCACACTGGGTTCTAATGGACACAGATCTGGGAGCTAATTGCTGCCTGTATCTTTGTGCACAATCTCAACAGGCATCTAAAAATAAGCAAAACTTTTAGCTTTTCCTGCCCTTTTACTGTTATACTGAACTGCGCAGAGTGATATCAACTTAAGGTACTATTTTGTGACTGCTATCACACAGTATTTGTATTCTGCAAGCTGACTACTCAAATGCCTAATGAGTGGTCAAGTTCTGTAACTGACTGAGAACTGCTAGAGTATCAGCAAAAGGCATTATATTTTATACTTCATTTGCCCAAAATACTTGGAAACATGACATTGTGTTCAGACTTCATTGTTGAGAGACGCTGAAAGGACGTCAGTCTCTGACTAATATGCTGTTGAATTAAAATGCACTCAATGTCAAAATGACCAGCCTTCCATTTAATCCACTTAGGCCTATCTGGAACAGTCTGGCGTGACTATGTCTCTGCCTTGGTTATTTTCTCCTCTGTATTGTTCATGCAGGAAAATGTATCAATCAGAGCAATTTCTCTGTAAAAGGAAGGAGTGTACACCATTTGCTTAGCGGGAAATTACTTGTACTCTGAAATTTTCTTTTATAATTCTAGTATTGTGAAGAAGGCTTTTGAGCTAAATCCTTGAATTTTCTTTGGATGTAAGTTTTTGTCAATTATTTTTATAGTTAACTTCTGCTATCGTGGCAGAACTTTGTCATGCTCTGCAAAACTTCCCCCGCTTTTGCCTCCCTCTCCTCCCTAGGAGTCCAGTAGATTAACTGAGCCACAGAGATCTAAGCACAACTCCAACAAACGCACTGCAAACCTTTTATGAGAACTGACAGTGGTTGCTGGGCTATTTTTTGTTCTTACATATAATTAGGAAAAGAATACTGAAAGCTGAACAAGCTGAACAAATTAAATTTAGAGAAACAAAATTGCTTCATGCATTTAAATAACACTATGACTTGTCAAAAAGGAAAAAAAAAGAGAAAGATTCTCATGCAGTGTTACGATGCTGGAAGTTGAGAAGGGCTTTGTTTGAACTTTTTTCTTATTCCAGTAGCAACACTTTTTTCCCACTTGAAAAACTACAACATACTGGTACTACAGCTTTTTATGAAAAATGAACTTCCAGAACAAACTTGACTAGATGGGCACTGTAAATACAAAGAAGGTATGCCTCATGTTTACCTTTTAGATATGCAAATCCTTCACCCAAATAGTTAATAGGTAACGATTTCATACATGGCAAGTGTCATGTGATGGCTTTAAACTGCCCCATGATAATTAATTATAATCAGTTTGTTGTGTGGTGACTTGCATATCCAATTCCAGTACATCAAAGAAATCCCATTTTTATGAATTTATTTTTGCCTTGTACTTTTAGTGGCTCCAGGCTTTCACCTACCAACTAACTTTCATATAACCTACAAGTTTAATGAAGTTACTACCTGGTAACTAGACATATGGTGGCTTCACAGCACAGAGAGGGAAGATCTTCACCTCAGTGCTGACTACTGTGCTTGTGTAGGCATCCTGGAGTTTACATCTAACATCTTCTCTTGCACACACCTCTTCACACGGTCAGAGAAAAGGCAACCTCAGGTGTCTCCATGTACAAAAAGCAGTTTCCATTTTCTGCCATGAGAGACAAACAACTTGCTGTTGTTTCAGAGTGCTCAAGCTGCACACGGAGCCCCTGTGTGCAATATAGACCTTGCTCATTTTCCAAAGTTGGAAGGTAGCACATTCAAAAGTCGCAAGGTAATTATCATGGTATGGACTGTAATTTTTAATAGAAATTATGAAAATTTAGTTACTATATTTCCCAGTATTTCTTCATAAAAATCTCTACCTTACCATCTGCTCAGCTGCCTGACATGCTATTGTAATATCTGATTCAAAAAACATTTAGGGTTGTTCCTGTGTAATCCTGTCGTGCAATCAAAAATGGGTGAGGAAAATCCCATTGACCCCAAATGGAAGACACATAAATGTGAAACAGAATGGAAAAGTTACCGAAATGCTGCTGTATTTACCAAAGTGGACTGCGCTCCTGAAATGGCTGGTGTTATTATGCCAGCAATTTCAGCAACTTGTGTTGATCATGAATATGCTAAGTGTAGTATCATTTGTTCATCTGACTGCTGAGGGAATCTTTAGTAATTTTTTATTCCTCACAAACTTGTGTTTTATTCCCTATTTGGGCTTAACTCCACATTTTCACCTTCCAGTAATACGACCTGAAAACTCTGCTGGGTGTAAATTTGTTCTGTTTTGCACAGCTGGTGTACTCACTATATGGCTTTCAGTGGAATAACTTGTTCATGAATATGGCTCTTAGTTCTCTTGTCAGACTATCAAGAAATGATGTTGAAGGTGTTGAACAGGTTTTTTTAGCTTTCAAGGTAGCGGTCCCCAGTATCAACCTCCAAACACTCTTAACTTTCCTCAAACAATCAGTGGAATTATTCAGAATCCAAATAAAAACACAAACTTTGCTTTATTATTTTTACTTACTGCAACAAATACTTAAATGCCAAAGCATTTAAGTGCAGCCCTGCTCTTCGTTTTCTCTGAATTTCAAATTTGGTCATGTCAAAAATTATCACAAAGGTTGGGTTTTTTTTCGTTTATCTACATAGTTTTTAACCAAAATTACATTACAACACACAAACACAGTCTTCTCTTTAAGGCACAACACATCATTATGCACATTCTGTTTGCCAAACTTATAAAAGAGACAATATTATATAACCCTCTCCCTCCCCCGCCCCCCAAAAAGAAAGAAAAATTGCATCCACTTCCAAAATCAGCTGCTAATAAAGTCACAGTAAATTATTTTCATCAATAATTTACACAAATTACAGGTCTAGACGGATTGTCATTATACAGTCTGAGTGCATTCCAATTCAGATTTTCTGGGTTAGGTAGGCTAAAGTCTGGTTCAAACCTCAGTGCTGAGAATATATCCCATTTTGAGGAATGTTGTTGAACACCACCTTGTTGGCTGGAAGATGGGTGTTGGTGCTTTGCCAGTTCGAGTCCTTTGTTCACTCCTGTCAGGGCTCACTTGGTGTGTATCAGCAACCTCCACAGTTTCAATTCATTTAAAAACGTTGCATATATAAGACCATAGAGCTTCCTTATGTAGCACTAATTTTTAACTCCATTCAGCAATCTGAATTCTTCAATTTGGAATTTTTAATTCCAAATATTTCTTCCCTTAAGACAATTCATATGTGTAAAGCCAGAGGCATTGAATCACACATAAAAATTCAGTGTACTTGAAATATATATATATAAAAAAAAAGGATCGCCAACTTTAGAACACAGTTACAAATACTCTAGTTCCAGTGCTTGATGGAGAGCCAAGAGGTCCGAATGACTGGATATCCTCCAGAAAGGCATGTTGTGCTGTGTTTGTTAGAGGGGAGAAAAGGTCAGGAAGGATGAGCACTGTGACACAGGGTGATATGTGACACATGAGGCTAGTCAGATTACCACCACATATTTTACACCACTGCATTTCTGGATTGATTTTTGCTAGTAAAGTACTGACAAAAATCAGACCAAAATAGATCTGAGCTTTACAGTTCAACTGAAGTTAAAATAATTATATAGTCTTTCTTAACAGTTTTTTTGGAAAGAGCCTCTTGCTTAATAAGGACAATTTGCTTACTGTTAGCATGCAAACCCATACCAAGGAGCATTAATAGGAAAGCCCATTCTGCTCCATTTATTAGACTTTGCAAAATAGCAAACCATCATTTAAAGGTCCGTGATACTTTCATTAAAAGAGCTTCACGCACAACCCTTTGAAACAGAGTTGGATTACTTTTTACTCAGGGCAGGGGGAGGAGGAGGGGGGAAGGAATTTCTTTGGATAAAAGATTTCTGGGTCAGAAAAAGAAACCTTTCTGATTTAGAAAATGATAATTTGTGTTACAGAAAGCAACACTGTCTATGAGAGATGCATATATATGCACTATTCTCCTTCATCAAATCATCAGAATAGAAAAAAAAGCATTCTTTCATGTTGTGTTCAGATCTATTTGTAGTGTGCTATATTCATCCATCTCTTTGAATTCTGTATCTATCCATGCAATATAGCCAATATTAAGAAAAAAGCATGCTAAACTGGAAAGTACACAATCCAACCACCTTTGTTTAGCACAAACTATAAAAGACCCATCACCAGGACTGCACCTATAATAAGGAACCATTTGGAATAAGCATTTTGGTTTATTTTAATTTTGTTTCTATTCTAGCTACAACACTAAAAAAGGAACTTTATTTTGCTACTCCTAGCACAGCAATATTTACATCACTTGTCCTGCACAGACATTGTGAGACAAAATTTTCAGTGTCTACACACTTCCAGGGGTTAAACAGGGAAGCATGGTGCAAGTTACCCATTTGATCTGTTTCTGAATATTGAAAACTTATCTGGTGAAATTTTGACGTATATTATTATCATGAAAAAATTGAATATTTCTAAGGAAACAGTTCTTTTTTTTTGCAACACAGGTTTGGTGCACAATCTCTATATTGTGTTACTTTTGCAGATATGTCTTTCTTGGATCAAATTACATGTTCATCATATTTGGTCCAGCAAACTACAGATTTTCATCTATGTCAGCAAAAAAAATTGCACAGTCCTTCAGATGCTTTTCCACATTCTCCATAACTTTGTTCTTAAAACCTCTATGATTTCACCATTTAAAGAAAAAACACCACCCAATTATAATAAAATAGCCCTTTCTGTCTCTTCTGTTTATCTTTAATTTGCTTAAGTGTCAGACATTTTAGCTGCAATAATTTTTCATTTATTTTTACAATAATTTTGCTTTTTTTTTTCTTTCCAAACTGAAGTGAAGCAAATGCTGAATACAAATGGTTCATTAGATTACACTAAGTTTTGATCTCATCATGCTCTTGTTGCCCTGCATCTGTGGGCTGAAAATATTTGTCATTCTGCAATTGTGCAACACTGACAGAAATGCAAACAGAAAGGCTTGCATTAGTAGCTAGGTATCACACCAACATTTCAGAAGACAGGTTACCTTTTTTGCTGCCTGCTCTTCTTCTACACCATCCCCAATTACAACATATACTACTTTTCTGCCAAACCTTTGCATTATTCGTTCAAAGCAACTTTCTTTCCCTGGAAGATAAATGAGATAAGAGTTCAGAGTGAAGTTACCTGATTAGCTGCATGTTCCTCATCTCGTCCATCTCCAATCACAACATAAGTTATGTTAGTGCCAAATCTGGACACTATACGCTCAAAACAGCTCTCTTTGCCTGAAAAACAATGCACTACTTATTCAAGCTATCAAGTGAGTTATGGTGAAGCCTTACAAAGGATTAGTGCAGTGGTAAGACATTGTTACTACTGCTTTTTTGAAGTATCCAGCCTTGGGATTTAGAGCCAAAACTAGTAAGAAGCAGTGAATCTCTTTAGTGACATTAGGCTGTTCCAGGTAAAACTAAATCACTTTCTTAATGGTTACAGGAAAGCCACTAAGATAAAGGAATCAGCAGCACTGCAAAAAGTAATAGCTCAGTAAATGAAGAATAGAATTTAAATATTTCCCTATTATTGCAGTAGTATTTTTTCAAGGAAAGAGAAGTTTTAAGTCTAATTTATCTGCAACAGTGGGTGATGTAGCAATGGAGAAACTGTTCAAAGCACAACAGACAAGCAAAATAAAATTGAACAACACAGTCCTGGGAGAACTTCATAAACCATTTGACTCTTTTGAAGAAATGTGGAAGCAAGCAGGCTAAACCCATAACAACAAAAAACAGGACTGAAACGGACCAAGCAAAGTCATCTACCAACCTTTTAATTGTATACAGGCTCAGTTTTATAAACAAATGACTGTGCTATCGATCCTCAAACTGTCCTAATGGTTTCACTATTTCCACATGTGATCTCCATATTTAATTAACCTTTTTCCATTAGGAGGTTTCTCTTTGACATGCGACCTACACATGCGCTATTGCAAAGAAATCATCACCTGTTGTGAGACCTTCCATCAATGTAAAGAAACATTATTTCTTTCCCCTCTGCAAGAGCTTTTTACCTTGTTTGTTACTATGTCTATCCCCACCCCAGGTTTTTAATCTTTTCTTACAAGCTCATGATTTCTAGATCTCCCATTCTTACTGCTCTCCTCTTGCTTTTTAAAAGTTGGCCCACAAAAAAGGGCTTATGATTAGGAAAAGCATCGTGAGTATTAACTGTTGAGTGAGGACAAGATTTCAGTGTGTGCAAGCAAGAGCTGCAATTACAGTCCTGTGCTCAACACAGTGCAGAGATCACTGAGATGAAAGACAGAGAGAGATCTTGTACCCCAGAGTTTGCTGTGCTCCCGACAGGGGTGTAACAGCGGCCACACTGTTCCCAGAAGGAATTCCTGGTGCAGAATTACTTCGACAGCGCCTCCAGAGACTGTGCTTCACTTCACCACCCCCTTCTGCGCTGTTGGCACTATTTGTTAATGCTCGTTCCTTTGGTCCAAGTGCAATCTCAGTGACTGAATCCAACAAGTACAGGCTGTATGACAGATGACATTCATTCCAGAGGCTGCACAGTACCATGTGGCATTTGGGATACTTTGTGCCTTAAGTTTTCAAAGCATTTGAGACTTTCTGTCTAGAGGACAGCTATAGCTAAAGAATCGCTGAGTGATAGTTTTTCCTGACACCCGTTAGAATATGCAGTTTTTTCACTTATTAAAATAATTTAGGAAATATACTGTAATGTATATTGTAATGCTTTTGTCAATGAAGTGTCACAGTATATGTTATATAGGTACAGAAATTAAGCATTCCTGAAGTAATAACTGGTAAATCATGAAATCTGCCAAAATTATCCGTCATTGTAGGCTGAGTCACATTTCACAGGAATGGTAACTTTTCTTGGTTTACAAGAAAATTTTGGATGCAATTTCCAGTAGCCATAAATTTCCAAACTGTACCACACAAGACGTACACAGTTATCAACAGAATAGGGAAATGCCCTTGTGACATCCATCAACACAGCTTCTGTTGGCAGCAGTTGTCACGACCATCACTGATGTACTATGCTTCCAGAAAAACCTTGTGAAGCAGAGGCCTAGCTTACATAGAGCTCAAGGTCAGAGCAGAGGCCATTTTAAAGAAGTTCTGCTTATATTTGAATTCACAAAACACTTTTCTTCATTCTTTTCTGCACACTTTTTGTTTTCTGCACCATGTTTAGGAGTTTCTGAGGCTTTAAATCAATTTGGAGACCTTTATTCCTTCAGGTATTATTGAAAATAAGATGAATTTGGAATTCATCGACATAAACACATCCGAACATATGCAATTCCTAAATCCTATAATTAACACTGTAAGTGTCAGAGAAGTGTCTTGGAATTCATCCACTGCTGGCAAAAATATGTAGGTAATGCAGTGTAGTCAGAATGGGTGAAAGAATAATTTTCTTACCTATTTTGGTTGCACTGTAAATATTTTCAATAGGAAAAGCTCCTCCTAAACTGTATAGTAGAACTTTTGCAAGTGCTGGGATAAGCTGGGTTGTTGTTACCAACACATTTACACAGTTACTCCTAAAATGAGAAAACAGTTTAAGTTTAAATAGTGTAAAACTGTTACCCAAGTGCTGAGGAGGTAAACCAGTTGTGAAGAGCATATTCAGGAATCCTCAACATTTACTTTCACTCAGCACTATCACTTCCAGAAAATTTTGGCGAATCCTTTAAAAGAATATGCAGACCTGATTTATAGGAAATATTCCATAGTGGTTTACAAAACTAAAAAAAAAAAAAAACAAAACCAAACAACAGGCCCTAAAATAGAGACAATTAAGATCACTCAATACCTCTGAAAATAGGCACTCCAGTGCTTTGATAGCATAATTTTCATGCTAGCAATTAATTGGCAGTAGCTGCCAGTGAAATAAAAGGATTAGGAGAATGCAAAACCATAATTTGTTCATCCTGTCTAGAGAGGAAATACACAACCAATACACATTTCAGTACAATGACATCACTTGCTTCATGTTTCAAGAGTAGAGGAAGAGATAAGAATAATTATGTTAATAAGCTAGCATTGAATGCTGAAGATGAAAACCTGAATAGCCAAGTTATGCTAGCAGTTACACAACAGAAAACTGAGAGTCTTGCTACTGTACGCACTGACAGGCTGGAATGTGAGCATGACCATGGTGTGAATATGGAGCTCAGAGCAAATAGCTGTGAATTCATAGAATCATAGAAAGGTTTGGGTCATCTAATTCCAACACCCCTCCCTGCCATGCTCAGGGACACCTTCCACTAGATGAGGTTGCTCAAAGCCCCATCCAACCTGGCCTTGAACACTTACAGGGATGGGGCAGCCACAGCTTTTCAGGGCAACCTGTTCCAAAACTAGAAACTTTTTTACAGTAGACTCAAATACATACCTTGTGCTGATAATTGATAATGATTTAAGTGCATTTGTTAGCCAGGAGTCTGTCAGAGCTTCAATCTCTGCTCTTAATTGCAACCATGCATCTCTTTTAGCGGGCCCCAGGAGTCCTTTTATGTAAAAAAGGAAGAAAAGAAAAAAAATTTAAATTCTGTATTAGTTGGAATGTATAGATTTTAAGGTTGCTGTTTATATTTTGAACTCCATTAGAACTTGAAAACACCAAGAGAAAATCTCTTTTTCAAGGCTTAGTAAATTGCCCTCTTTTTATTTGCACTTTGCTGTATCAAGGATTGCAGACAATATTGCAGATACTAATAATCAGTTATCTGAATTGTTTCTTTGTCTATTCAGGCTATTTTACTACATTTTGAAGTATACCTTTCAGAAACATGTATTTTTAAAACCTATTCTTCACATACATCTTACTATCAGTGTCACAGTTTAAACCGCAGCCAGCAACTAAATACCGTGTAGCCACTTGCTCTCTGCATCCCCTGGTGTAATGTGAAGGAAAAGGAAAAAGGTAAAACTGAAAGGAAGATCTATGCCATTGGGAGCACAGGCAGAGACAAAAGAAGACATTAGAATCCACTTGCCTTTGCAGTATCTGCATATGTTTAAAACTGCCCTTCTTGTGACTGTGTATAGGTGAAACTCAGGTTAATACATCTGGAAATACATTTGTTTGCTGATGACTTGATCCTCATATCCTGTTGTAGTTACCAGTGATAGCTCCTTTGACAGCACTTACAGCCCTGAAATGGCTGCACATTTTATGTTCTCGTATCTCAGTCAGTCCTTAAAATCACCTTAAAATCTCTTGTTGGGTATGAACAATCAGATTTAAAAAAAAATACCCAACCTATAAATGCTGAGACATTAATTTTTTGGAACCAAGGTATTTTAGAATACCTTGAAGAGCAGGGAAGCAGGCTTCCTGAGCTTTCGTGTCCCTCTTCTCTTTCACACCCTATGTTGACAAGAAGTGGTGATGACTGCCTTAAAAAAATCTGAAATGAAGCAACCTAAAAATACCTAGTTAGGTCTAGCCTTCTGTTGCCTTCTAACAGCTATTTTGAGATACATAGATACATGTGTTATAAAAAAGATTATTAAAAAGCTAAGTAGAGGATGAATGAATAAACATACCCACTAAGGATGAAATATATTTCAGAAGTAGGATTTGTGGATGAGGATAAAAACCTTGAGACAATGAACCGTATTTGCACTCTGGCTTTGCAATGATTGTTTCTCTTAGTGTGTTTCCTTTTGCTATGCTCTTGGACTTGTGCTCTTACTAGTGTTAAAAGTTTTATGAAATCCAAAAACTTCAGAATCTTAGATGCATCAGGAGATACACTAAAACACTATGACATTTTCACTAATACTGTTTCCAGAGGTATTAATATATAAAAACTCTATTCATGATACCAAAGAAGGGCAAGGCAGGGCAAGAGAAAGCCAACCACTTGCTATCACTCTTTGGTCCTATTGCTCCTTCCTTCATCAAGTAAAGACTCTGAACTACTCAGAGTGAAAACGTATATTGCAGATTTACATAACTTAAGTAAGGACTAAGTCATTGCCCATTTTAGTTGTATGGTTTTGCCATTTCTGAGAGACTGCAGGAAGTGCTAAACCCCCACCAAATTGACTGCTTTTACTGAAGGTGAGCTTTACTTTGAGTTTTAAGTTCCTCTGAAAAAAAATTCAGATGAGTTGAAAAAGCCCACGTTACAGAATAGGAGAATGTTCACTTGGACTCTTTCCTGGCTGGGCTGGGCTCAGCTTATCCTCAACTGTAGCTTTAGCCTGAAGTTGCCTGAAGACTTGTAAGTATTCCCTGTTCTCAGAGTCTCTCCTTGAGGGATTCAGTTGACATACTGCCCTTCTTGGAAGAAGGATGGCTGTCCCTGCAAGTCACATTGGATTCTTCAGGACAGATTCTTTCAGTTCTGCTGTTTGATTTCCTACGCACCTGAGGTCATGGACATCAGTGAGTCCACAAATGCAGGAAAACTCTTGGCCCAAATGAGATTAGTATTTCTTGCTAACACAATTAACTGTGTAAGCTACAGAGTCAACAAAAGGTGCCAGTGGCATGGGAATGCCAGAATTTATTTCATCCACTGATAAAAACAGACAAGAAGGTACCCAGATGAGAATTTAGCAGAATATTGTGTTGTTACCAAGCAGATCATGAAATTATAGGATGTAAAAGGCCAGCCACAAGTAATTTGTACTGCAGAAGCGACACAGCCTCTTTCCTAGAATAACTGCATGTCTGAGGTAGAAAAAGTGGCTCAAGCACTCAGTAATGTGAATATATCCAAGCTGGGTCTGAAGGAGAAAAATGAGCTTTGTGAAAGCCATATGAAGGTCTGCTCAGTTTTCCCATCTCTGGTTCTCCTCCACAACAGCACAATGTTGGCTCTGCCATTAGTCAGTAGCTTTCAACAGCCCGAGGTCCAGTCGCATCACTTTCCATTCACTCTGTGGCTTCCAAGGCACATTCCCTCTGTGGGAGCTCGCTGCCATACAGTTTAACCTAATCAGCATTCTGAATTAGTTTTGACACTTAAACTCACCTCCTATGTTGTTCTTGTAAGTATTATACAACTCTTTTACTCTTCTGTAACGGAAAGCCAGCTTCCTCATCCAGTCAACCCCTCCTCTTACACCTGTTGGCAGACAAAGGTTTGCACTACTTGCAGCTGCATGGAAGCCATCAGTTGCAAAACTGTAGGTACTGCAAACACCCAAAATACAGTAAAAATAAATACAATGTATTCCTGTAAATGCTCAATTTATTTAATCTTTGAAGAAAAAAACAAAAACAAATGCTGCTTACCTTAGGTCTTGTCCATTATCATCAGAAGAAACATCATCTATATGAACTTGATCACACTCCTGTTGGAAAAAAATCCAAATTATAAACTATAAGAGAGTATGCTCACTATACGCTTCGTGCACATGTTGATGATCGGTGCAAGTCGCTAAGTACACCAGAAGATGGCAGCATATGTACACCTACAGCTTCCTATCACCGTCAATTTCTTAAAAACAATACAACCTTCAACTCCTACACTTTGTAAATTATTAGCTAAAATAGGCCTTTAGAAAGGCAATATGTAATTCTAGTGTGAGTTTTAGGTTAAAATTATTTTAATTGAAAAATACCAACAATTGCAAATCTCATTTATAGTTTCTCTGGCATACCAATACCACAAAGTTAGCTAAACCTTATTTCCACACTTCCTAAAAGCTAGCGATGATGAACCTCAACCAGCATACAACTTCTGTTAAGTCTCCAGGAGTTTGGATGCTTATCAGATTCTTTTAGTGATTTATCCAATTGCCTTGGGCTGGAAAATCACAGATAATCAAGCAGTCCTGGAGAACTTCATGATGATTTCCTGGTTTCAGAAGAGATGGAAGTACCTCTGGGGAACTGAGGTACATTGGAAAACCGAACTCCCCCCATTTTATAATTGGATAGCTAACAAATATCCTTTTCTGCAGTGTGGTTATGGCACAAAGATAGGAAAATGCGTGGGAAGCACAAATAAATAAGTCAAGCTACCACACAATGGTAAATATAAACAGGCATCATATGACTGTTTTTTGTAGCTGCTAGAATAAACATCTTAACCCAAAAATGCACCTGAAATTCAGTGTTCAGAGATTTTATTTTGCTGTATATAATTTTATTATTTAAAATAACTGTTTTTAACATAATCGTATTTATGAAAAAGTTCAAGGACACATTTAAAAATTACTACCCAGCAAATGTTTTCCAATAATTTAATCTCTTCACTAGGACAAAATGAGGCTGAGCTTTCAAAATGCCCAGTTCTGTGCCTCAAATAAAGAGTCATCTGAGTTGTCTACGTCAAACAAAGTTGCTGACAAGCAGCGCTTAACTCAGACTCTCTGTGACATGTTGGAGCCTGCAGTTCTGAGTTTCCAATCTTGGTCTCACACCAATGTTAAGTTGTCCAGATAAAGGACGAATCTGAACAAAGAAGTGATTTCCAAATGCATATGCCACAAGTTTTCAGAGTTTAAATTTTGGGAATTAACATTTCTTCTTTCTGTTTTGTTTGTTTTGCAATTGAATGAAAACGTAACAGACTTCTGCCCACATGAAATTGTTAAAAAAATTAATTAGCAATTTTTGTATAAAATTAATACATATAATTACAGTTTCAAAGACATAATTTCATTACATTGTACAAGTAATTAGAATTAAAAATTTTGTGCCAAGACTAAAATAATAAGTGGCCAAACTGCTCATCTGGCTTAATCTGTTAAGACAGGCATGAAAGATCTGTGTTTGAGGAACAGAAATGAAGCATACTTCTCCCTACTGGAGAAATAAAATTTGTTGGCTTGTCTGAGGAGATTATTTTGAGCTGTAGGAAATTTTTAAAAAGCTGCTTTTGGATGTGTATAGCAGATGAAAAGAGAAAGAAAAGGGCAAGTGGCAGCTGAAATAAAAGATTAATTTCTTTATCCTTATTTATTATTTGCACTTCAAGGAAAAAAAGATGCAACTATACTCCACCCAGTGTAGGGCAGGATCTCAAGAATCAGACAAAAAGGCCCACCAGGACAAATTCTAACTCTACATTTTGTGGTATCTGAGCAGTATCTGGCTTGCAGACCACCTTCACACATTTCCCTGGAAATGGTCAAAGCATACAATAACTTGAAAAGTTTAAAAATCAGTGCTGTGGATTTGAAGGTGTACTAATTAAATGGAGGGCACACAGAAGCCCTGATGGATAAAGGAGTGTCTGCTGCTGTTTGAGCTTTGTTAAGCCTTTCAGCTACATTGTTCCAGCATTGAAAATTCCACATAACTTTCTGCTGATAGTTTCATTATTAAGTTAAATATGAGTGGGTGGCAAAGGCTTAGCTGTTTACTTTTATTTATCTGACAGTTTGTGCATTGACTCTAGGAACAGGAGATGAGGGGAACACACAGTTTTCTGATTACTTTCCTCTTGTCCCTGCAAGAAGGTTAAGTTTAGAAGAGGATCAAACCTGATAGCAGCTTTCTCCTTTTCCCCCTTCCTCTCCTCTTGGATCTATGGCTCACCTCAACATATACTTGCAATACACATTTGCCAACCAACAACAAACTCGTGCTCTTCACTCTTTGTTTCACTTTGCTTTACTTTGTTTTCTTTTTTACTTATGTACTTCAACTAAAATGTTTACATTTTACAAAATCAGGAACTTTCAGGAAAAAAAGAAAAAGCAAATTGTTTGAGCAGATTTGAGATACTTCGCTACTTTTCTCCAAAGAAACAGGAAATTGGTGGCACAACACTACATTGGACTTTGCTTGTAAAAGATACCAAACAGTTGTGGGGAGGAAGGAAAGCAAGCAACCTCTCCGTCACTTTAAATGTTAAGGTAAAATACTTTTAACATCAGCTACACACTGGTTACATGCAGGTCACAGAGGCTCACTGTCAGTACAAGGTCAAAACTAAGAAAGATAAAATATATTTCCTGAGAGTTCAGGAATCTAGGTATAACAACTGTCTTTTGCTTGAAGCAATATTAATTTAAATTATATCTGAGTGCAGGCAATTCTTTGCAGCAATTTTTAGAGCCTGGAAATTGGAGAGTACAGAATCAACAAATCATCCATAAAAATTATCCTCCTGGAAAGGGCAGTAATTTCATTATCCAGTAAAAACACTGACTCACCACACTGAACACAAAAATGTTATTACTGAGGGTATATTCAGCACTATGCTTTCTCAGGCTATACACTTCTTTTAACGTATGTGTTTCAGTCTCTGTTAAAACTAGTTTACCTGACTCACAAATTCTGAGACTTATCCAAATCCTATTTTTTATTTCTCATTTTTATTTCTAATGAGAAAAAACAAAGGATGATAAAATCTTATTTGAAATAGGGTAGAATTATTATAAAAATAGACATGGGATTCAGTTTGTTTGAATACTCTTTTCATCATTGTCCCTGAAAATGGAGGGGTATAATGGAAGACTCATGTCCAAATTCCTGCTTGCAATTTGTAGAAATTAGGGTTTTTTTTTGCATGCACAGTATTCCCTACCAACATTTCTGAAAGCTGTCTTAAAATTAATACTCAGGGTGAAAAGCTTCATTTCATCCCTTACCTGATTAAGCAGAGAATTCATTAGTCTGGATATTATAACAGAACTGAGTCCCATCTCTAAGCACTGTTTAGGCACATGAACTTTCTAGAGCACCAGACTCCTATTTTCATGGCAAAATACCAACTGCCCTCCCAAGCAATACTTCTCAAGCTAACTAAAATTTATACACTGAGAATGAAATAGCTGGAGAACAGCCTAGCCTGAAATAAAAGTGCAGCTTGGCTGATTAGAACATGGGTTACTGGGTCAGCAGGGAACGTCTCAGCAGACTGGAATTTCTGCATCAGCAGTCATTGTAGTGAGACAGATTTGCATAGAGGAAGGAAAACTTTATTTTTATATGTGATAACTTCAATAACTTGGTTATTATTACTAGACCCTGGTATGCAGTGTTTCCAACCAAGAAAGAGAGGGGGAAAAGACTGCTTAGAGGATGTAGTGACTGGAGTCCATATTACAGGAATATAGCTTCATCAGTACCTTACACTTGTCATGTCCAGAGCCACAGGGTTTACTGTGGGATGAAGGTGAAAGCAAGACAGGAGGAATGGGACCTGATGGCTCAGCATTTAAAAAGTGAGATGATGAAAAGACATGTAATCTGTCTAGTGAATAAAAGTCTGTCTCACTTCCTCAGTAACAACTGAAGGTCTTGTGTCTTGATGGCCATGACCATCAGCAACTCAGCATTCATCTCCTGGGGAAGGATGGTCAGAGGAATGGACAGACAGGGAGAGGGAGAGAGGGAGAGAGATGAGAGAGACACCCAAGTTGGAATTGGGGAATACTCAGAATTGATTAGATCGTCATTGTGCAGATGCACTGTAATATTCAGTAATGGCCATGTGCTCTGCAAACGCAATTAAACAGACAGATTTATCCATTTGCATATTAGAAGATGCCTCTGTGTACTTCGGCACAGGATGCCATGCAATTATGTCCTGTTTTCTAAGATGACAGAAAATCGTTGGTCTTGCATATGCCAGAATGTGTGCATACAGCTCATTTCAGAACAAGAAGTTCAGAATTTTAGTAATCTTGTAAGAAAGTTGGTTAAGAAACAAAGATGAGTTCTGGGCTAGAAAATACCTAATTGCATATAGAAATTGGTTTTCATCAAATCCAATTGATTGGGTTATAAGATTCTCCAAGAGAGTCCTGAAGTAGTATTTTTTGATTTATTTGAAACTGAAAACTGTTTGGATACTGTTCAAGCTCTGGAATGAGCTGGAGTATGATTTTTTGGACAGGATATTAAAACCACCCTATGAAGAATATAAAAAATGTGATGATCCACCTATGACAGCTAAACCTGAGATCTACAAAGAAAATAAATACTGAGAGAAAGGAATGAAGCTTCAATGGCCATTAGCAAGGATAAAAATGTATGGAAAGAGGGCAAAGCTCCATTTTGCTGAACTCTTCCACATGAACTCAGCACAAGATTGAAGATCTCTGGGCATGTGCTACCAAATGGCTTAAACTTCATTGGGTGCCACGTGAAATCTGAATACACAAGGGCAAAGGTATGCTAAAAAGAAATTTAAACAATGCTTTGAAAAATTGATTTGGACTCTATCTCTGGTACAGGGCACCAGAAAGAGAACATTCACTGAACGCACTTGCATTGTCAAGTGATGACTCACTAGGGCTGCAATAAAACACTGACTGGTAGAGGCATGTCCAGGACTTTGCTTTCTTATGTTTTTGCTGCTGGAAGGAGGAAATGCAGCTCAGGTATAGGGTGAAGTAGATCCCAGTTTCTTAACTTAAAGAAAGCTAAGAATAAATGAGGTGTGCAAAGGATGACAAAGACAACTGCAGCCTGATAATTCTGCTTTTCTTATTGCCTACAGTTGATAAAGGAACAAAAGAAGTGCATACATTCCCAGTGAATGGAAAAATCTCACTTACCCTTATTTTTTCTATTCACTCACAAGAAACCTTTTTCTGGCATTTTAAACCAAACCTCAAAGTCTTCCAACTCCCATTAGTGGCAAAATATCCCGTCCCCAGAAGGAACTCTGGGATCCAGTAAAAAACAACTGATTTAGATCAGGGGATGGCCTGAAAACCCCAGATTCTCTGATGCTGCAGTCTTTGAGGCAAATGAAGAGTAGTTTACATTTGAGCAAGAAAAGGGGGGATGGGAGGGGGAAGGGCACCTGTGGCCAAAAGGCTACTCAGGTATGCGGAGAGAACAGACTCTCTTTCGGTCAAATAATGACACCCACTGAAGGCAAATTTAGAGAACTTCAAGAGAAAGAATGTGAGGCACGTATGTTCCTCTCCTGGAAATGACAGTACACAGCTCTAAATCAATGAAAATGGAAAAGATAGCCATAGGACAAAGAGAGGAAAAGGTAGTTTGCAGATTCCCTCTCTCACACAGTTTAATGGAAGGACTCTGGTGCAATAGAAGTCACTGCCACCTAGCTAACCTCTCTGATTAAAGTATGACAATCCCAAAATCTAGATAGGCAGAAGATGTCACATACAACAAACAGTAATGCCAGAAAAACTAGTATGTTAAAAACTCAGGAGTAACAGTGTTCATGCTCCTTTGATTCTTACCTCTAAATCATTAAAAAATAAATGTGTGTCAGCAAGATTAAAAATCATTTCTTCCATTCGCAGTCCAAGAGTCACTGCCATTGGTGGATCCTTAAAAAACAGAAAGCACAGTTAACTTCTTAAATACCTTCTATTAGAATTACTTTAAAAACTGCTCTATAGAAAGTGCTTTGAAAAATTAACACCGCAAGAAATTTCTTCAAAAATCCTTTCAGTATTAAGCTGTATTAATATAATGCTACAAGAAGAGACCACTGAACATGTGTGAGAACATTTAGGGTAGCTGGGGATGTTGAAACATCAAGTTTTTTGACAGTCAAGGCATTTGTAACTGGGCTAAACTGACATAGGCAAACCTGGTGGCCGTAAACCTGCATAAAGAAGTTTGTAAACGGGGAAGGAACTTCATACAAAAGACGTATGTAAGAAAACCAGCATTTATTATTGTAACAGTACACCGAAATTTTCACCCCTGAGCCTTTTATATAAATATGTAAATATCTTGTCTGTCAATTTCTGGGCAGACAAAAGCTGAATCATGGAGCAATAAACTAATTTTTCTGACCCAATCCACAGAGTCAGCAGCAGAGGCAGAAACAAAGTTACTTCATGTGACAGTCTGCAGCACAATTCCTTTGATCACTGGGCTTTTCTTCCCAATTTTTGGACACATGGAAGTCCTCACCAAGGTTATGCTAAATTGGACTAGGAAAGGTAGTAATCTACCGATTACTTTGTGAGCAATTATCCTAAACTGTGATATGAAGGTGTGATTTAAGAGGCCTTTTCAATTTCTGATGTCTCTGCTTTATAAAAATACAAATGGTACTCTGAACCTATGCCCATTTCCCCAAATTGAGTTTCACTCTGGATAAATCATCACTGTGTTGCCTATGTTTAGGCCTACATCACTTCATTCCCACACTTCCTGCCACTCTAGTATGTCTCTTCAAACCCTGCACTTAGTCCTTCTCTGTCTCAACATTGACCTTTCATGCAGGGCTCTTCTTTATGATTTTATTGCAAGTATCAATTCAAAAAAGTGCCTGTAAGTGTTTTTCTTAGTATTCTTCTGTGTACTTGCAATCTATGCCACAATTCTTTAGGTGGTCCCCAGGAATGAGAAAGGATACGTAAGTTTGTTTGCTACAGATCATCCTTTCATTTGTGGTGGAATACAGGATTCTTGTCCCTGGATGAAAGTAATTTAAACTGTTGCATTTGTTCATAGGTCAGCTTCCACATTATCAGATCACCTTGGCAAGACAGCACAAATCTATGGATCTGCAATAACAGTTTATATGAGACCATTTAGTGTACAGTAAATGTGAGAAAATTAATTTAAACTTGCAAAGCTTGCTGGGAAAGAGGTTAAGCCAATCTGTATTACCTCACATTTGTTCTAGAACAACGGAGCACATGGGCAGCTCCTGATGCTTAGCTAACATCTAGTGAAACTAGTATTACCATTACCTTAATCATCTGCCTGAGCTTGTGGAGCTCAGCTAACATTTTATGCTTAACATACTGCAATAGACTTTCAAAATAGGATCACAGCATGCTTTGGGTTTGAAGGTATCTTAAAGCTCATCCAGTTCCAACCCCCCTGCCATTGGCACGAACGCCTTCCACTAGCCCAAGCTGCTCAAAGCTCCATCCAACCTGGCCTTGAACACTGCCAGGGATGGGGCAGCCACAACTTCTCTGGGAAACTTGGTTTAGTGTCTCACCACCCTCACAGTAAAGATCTTCTTCCTAATATCTAATCTAAATATCTCCTCTTTCAGTTTACAGCCATTACCCCTTGCCCTTTGACTACAGGCCCTTGTAAAATGTCCCTCTCCACCTTTCTTGTAGGCCACCCCTAGGTACTAGATGTGATCCTCTTCTCATGAAAATGAAAAAAAAAATAAAAAATCTGTATTTCATCATTCAAACTCTGATTGACAATAGCAAGCTTTCCGAAATCCCTTCTTAAATACCCTGAAATTAAAACCCTAAAAGTTTACCAGCATCTGGCAACAAAATCACACAAAACCTCAAATGCTCATTTGTTAGTATTAGGATCAAAGGCTTCCCAATCAGGATCAGACTTCCCCTACTCCAGGGCTTTGCAATGACAGAATAAAAGATGGTTTCTACGCTTGAGCACTTAAATACTAATGGTAAAATCTGAGACACAGACATATTTTGACCCTTGCTCATAAAAAAGTCAGACTTGAAGGGAGAATAGTGTACAAGAAATGGTAATGATCCAAAGTTAGACCCACTATCTGGCAATGAAAGGAAATATTTTTATGTTGACCCTCGAACTGGTCTTGACTACCTTTCAGAAGTAAAAACCAAAGCAGTGCCTAATAACACAATTTCATCCCCTATCTTCTGCAGTCGTGTTCATGGGATCTGAAAGTCATGTGGCTGAAGGCAGCAGCAAGTGCAAAGGTCACTTTTCCAAGGGGATGATTAAGGAAGATATGTTAATAGATTTGCAAAAATCGTGTAAGAAATCAGAATACAAATCATCAAAATACTCTGGACTCATAAGATTCTTCATCAAGCCATAATGCTTTTATCAAAGTGTCATCACATACAAACATGTGTTTCTCTCTCGTTTCTCGTGGTTTTTTTTCTGTGCACAGTAAATCATTTTTTTTTCTTTCTAGACACAATATAATAAAGAGTATTTGCAATATGCTTCTTTACCTCAATCCTATGAACACAAAGGCATGTGAATAACTTTGTGCACAGGTGGTAACTCATTATTATTTATGTGAGTTAAGTTATTCACTGGAGTGTTTCCAGCACTGGCATCTCAGACTTTTGATTCTCAGCCTCTTTTGTCCCCTTCCTGGGTAGAAGCAGACTTAAATGCGGAAATTTGCTATAACATATTCCATTATAATCCAATTTATTTTTACAGAAACTACCAACTATGTATCACAATTTCCTGCCTTGCCTAGTATAGTTGGAAGACATAAATGTGACAAAAGTTTTATGATTTTCTTATTAGCAGTATTTTTGTAACCAACTATGCCTGACTTTATTACTGTTAAAATGAGATTTCCTATGCTCCTGTTTTGAAAAAGGCATGTGTAGGATATTGCTAGGTACTATATGTAAAATCAAATAGAACAAAGAGAATTCATTTCAGCTTAGTGTGGAATCAGTCTGTGATCTCACACAACAACTTTTGCTAAGAATAGTTATTGGAATTGGATTTTCAAAACATTTTCAATGTTTTGTCCATTTTCAATGGACAATTCTTCCTTTAATAAATTGGTCAAAACTTGCACTGCAACTGTTTAACAAGAATTAAACATCACGTTCCAGATTTTTCCATGTTAAGTTCATTCCTTCACATACAAAAATAGACATAGAAAGCAGATTTGTCAGGGTCTCGTGGTTTTATAATGTTTGCACAGTGTGGAGGAACACCCCAACCAGCGTTTTACCGTCTTTCAAGTTGAAGCAGAAGTTTCAGACTAACTGAAGTGGCACAAAGCACAGAGTGTTGAAAAGAAAGCAAGAAATATGTGCAGCTGATACAGATTTGAGCACAGCAAATTGAGAGACTGAATAAGAGGCAGACTGAACTTCTGCCAAAATGTATTTTGTGCTACTCTGCACAAGAATATACAAAAGAGAAAACAATAATAAAAAAATAAACCTGGAAGTGTTCCTCAGATAATCTGCAGAATAAAGAACAACGCTTTGGCCCTCAGAGGAATCATTTTAACCAGATATCATCAGTGTGCAACAACCAGCTACAGCACTTCTGTATACCAAAATACAAATTACTTTAGTTACTTCAGTATGAAGGCACTAAACTGGAGCCAGACTGTCTGTCTGTGGACTTCTGTACTAGACTGGTCCATCCACTGGAATGCCTCCTGGGAGACCAGATAAAAATACCCTAGGAGGACCAATATTTAAATGTTTTGTCCAGCAGGAAAGTGACTTGGAACAAAACCCCAAAAGTTCAATGTCCATTAGAGGAAGAAACCTATTTAATACTGTCTTGGAAGGTCAGGTTTCAACACAAGATGTTCAAAATAATTTAATTTCTTGGAAGAAAAAATGCAAACACACCAAACTGTTTTTTATAAAACCTCAGAAAACAAAAAATAGATTGCCAGGTAAATTCATTGTAACAGGAATTTGTACACCTGAAACCTTAAAAAGAAGCAAGAAAACAAACAAAATATATAAATAATATTGTAAGAATAAATATTCAATGTGTGGCTGTCCTGAACAGATTTACAACAAAACTGACCTCTGGAAAAGCGAAAGACGCTTACGTACCAATATTTTTAGCTTAAAAATACTTCCTTCCATTATAGGAATCTCAGATTTATATTCAGCTCTCACTCTTTTATAGGAACAAGTGTTTCCATATTCATGGGAACAATGGAGGAAGAGAATACATCTCTTCTTGATAACTATATCTAGCTGCTGTTGAAGGACAAAATTTCTATTCCACAGGGAGTTTCTGTTCCACTCTCTCTAGAAAGTGGTAGGAAAATGGACTCAGAGGTCTCAGACAATGAGGGACTGGATTGAGAGGACAACTGGAGGTCATGAGAGATAACTCCATTAATACAGGCAGACAAAAGCATTTTTATGAGTGAATTTGGGAATGTCATTATAGGTGATAATGGTGACAAAGTTTTTCTGTTTAATGACTGGACAAGCAGAGAGTTAGCAATAAAAAGCTACTAAGCCCTTTCCAGACAAGTGTACGAGGTTAATGTCCCTTCCCCAACAGCTTACTGTCATTAACAATGCTATCAAAATTTCCAACTGTGATCATCAGGTATGGATTTGTTTTGATTTTTGCACTTGGAAATCACATTCGCCCCCTTCAGAGGTTACAAGGGACTTTTTTATCCAGTTTCACCTTGAATCACAGCATTTATCTGGACATACTTGCCCTTTGGATCGACCTGGGAGAAATGAATGGAATATAAAATTGCTTGGAGGTAGACGAAACTCCAGCTTAATCAGCCTTAAATCAGCAAGGATAACAGGAATGCAATGGAACAAAGAATACACACTGTTCACAGGGAATAAGAATGTACCTCATAAACTCTTAACAGATGATGACATCTCCTAACACATGTCCTGTCACATCAACAAATCCTCACTTAAGAGCTCAGCATTGTAGAAAACCGTATCTGCCAACTGGTGCTCAGCTGCAAAAACCATCATCAGCCACACAAGTCATAAACTTAACAGCTCAAATGCCAATGATCATAATTTGCCACTGCAGTAAATAATTAAAAATAGAAACATACTGGTTTTATGATGTACAGCGCAGATGAGCAAATGAGCTGAACAACTCTGAGATGTGCTCTAAACTGCTGGGAGGCAGCATGGCTTCCTTGAAATCTAACACAGGTGTAGTGTAGTTTTTATTCTCTTTTTATGATAGTTCTGACCAGCCCAATAAAATAACCACTACACCAAAAGTCAGACAGAAACACCCACAGGTAGAAAACAGCAAGCCACAGAATATTCCTCTGGGTAAGTTTTATATTTTAAATATCAAAGTGATGCATTGACCAACCTCTGCCAAATCTCTTAACTTCAGTGGAGTTCAAAGCTATAGTCTTCTGCTGCCCAGGCAAGCAGCAATTTGCCCTGTGTTTTAAATGAGATGCTTACAGCTGCATCCAACAAGTTAAATCCTTCAACAAATCAACAGTTTTGTTTTTAACATGGTTATTGTAACAGCCCTATATGATTCTGAAATCAAATAATCATCACACCATGAAAAATGCTGGACAAGTATAAACCAAGGAGAGTGTCCATTCTCAACTTCAGAAACCCTCAGGCATAAGTCAGAAATCTGTTTTCTCTTGCAAATATATGAACTAAAATTTGCCTATTGCATACAGACCTTCCACTAATCTCTGCCAACAAATGCCCTCATTGCCTATGGGGATGTTGGTTTGTCTTTCTTGTTTCTCTTTTACTCCACTGTAGGAATCTTCTGAAAGAGAAACTGTTTGTCTTGTGGTATCAATGCAGCTCTCAAGTGTCCCCACACTCATACATTTGTGCTGCCACTTGGCCATAACAACGTGATGGCCACCTCCCCTCCCTGCATTCCCTCTGCAGCCTGAATTGCAGCAAAGCAGGGAGATTAAAAGGCTAATTTGTTTTCACCCAGTTACTGCAAGATACAGGGTGAAGTGCTAGTGGAAAAATGGAATTAATGTTTTCATGTCAAGCAGTAGATGGGGAAGAACTGAAGGTGAATATCCTTGCCTGTCTGTATATTCATATTAGCTCTAAATCCAGCATCACACTCCTTGAAAATACAAAGTGAGCACACTTAGCCAAAGAAGATGCATTCCCTTAAACCAATGTTCACATTAAAGACTCACTAATCTCATTTAGTCACTTTTCCTGCGACTTTTGTGTGTGTGTGTGTGTGTGTGTGTGTGTGTGTGTGATTTCTATTTTGGGAGTAACCTGATAATGTTATACAAAATGGGCTCACAAAATACATATGGAAGAACACAGTATGCACAGCTGAGCATCTGTGTGACATTATACACCCTTATTTTTATTTTTTAAAAGTGGAGAGCAAATCACTGCAATTATTTGGTATCATTATTTTCTTGTTTTTCATTGTGAAGTAACCATTTTGTGACACTTTTCCATGATAAACAATTCTCTTGACACTTTTGCAAGACCTATGTGCTCACAAGACTTCCACTGAGAACCTCACAATTCATGGACTATTTACTGTCATAGCAATCTAATTTTTGTAATAATCCAAATTCCAGTCTGGGTTAAGACCTTGTTTACAGATGGAAATCACATGCAGAAAAGATAAGGGCCACATCTGCTATAGAGGTCATACAACAGAGACTGACTGAGATCCATCTGTGATATCTTTTCCTTCCCCCACGTGTAACCTCTTAGGCACTTTAGCTTAGACACATCTCACCTTAAGTTTAGGCAACACTTCAGTGACATGCAAAAGTTAAAGTCCACCCATGATAAGCTCTCCTTGTGCTCCCTGCCTCCCTGCAGTCAGCGATATATGAGATTCACTGATAATTACTCATTACCTTCCTAACAAGTTCTCTATAGATATGGCAAAGGTAGTCACTGTAGGAAAGAAAAGTCTACTACTCTTATTTTACAGTGTCTGCAAATGAACACATTTCCTGACTTGTGTAGATGTCACCTATCAGTATAAAATAAATAAATAAATAAATAAAAAAGATGGATTATACTTAGGAATTCCTCTGCTTTTGCTCATAGTTGTTCATGTCATTTGTTTACTGATGCTGATCTCAGCGGTATAATTATATGAATTTCACTTGCCCTTAGACATACTCTTGGTTTATACAATCCAACTTTATCTGCTGTCAGTACTACTGGCTGTTAATATGCCATTACTGGATTCTGAATGGACAGTCAATTTTAGCAGCATGTGGTCTTAAGAACAGTGGCTGCTGGTTATTTTTCCCCAAAATATTTTTGCTTGTAAAAAAAAGGGGGAAAAAAGAGGAATTACATGTCTCTAAGACAGTTTTCAAAGTTATCCATAGACGTTTGTGAGCTACAAAATGTGCTCTGATTTCTAAAACTTTGTATTAAATTTGACTTTGAATTTAATTATTTATTATCTGAGATGGAGCATAAGATGTAAACATCCCAAGGGCACAATCAAAAAATGATTAATGAAATGGCTTCATCACTGAGGCAATTCAGCAAGTTCTGTGGCAGTCTATAGGCTACACTCACAGTGATATAAAAATTCCTGTTTGGCTAGGTTTCCCTTGTTTTAGTAACTATAAGATAGAAATGGTTTTGAAAAAGTCACAGTTTGAAAAAGTGTTTGGAAAACAGCAGAAGAGGAGTTTTTGACAGTGTACTGAAATATGCACTGTGGAGCTGCCAAACAAGCAAGGCTGTTTTTTACAAGATATGAATAACATCCCTTATCTTAGCATTCCAGAAATTTAGCTTTTTGTCTGGGGCCTTTGAGTTTTCCTATTAAGTTTCTCTTTTAATAAATAAAAAATAAAAACTTGGAGGACTGTCCCATCCATGTTTATAATTCACAGTTTCTGGCTTTGGACATTTCTAGCCTGCTAGCTGGGGAGGTGGGTGTGGAAAACATTTCTTTAATGTACTGTCTCTCATATCCTTTTCTCAAGCATCTGATTCTGCTGTGATAAATGGCAGAAAACATGCTAAATAAGCCCTTTATCTGACACAGTAAGGAAATGGTTATGTACTTAAATATCGTCTAATTAGTTTCACTTGAATGGTACAACACCTAGAAAACCACATATGTACATATCAACACTCCCCTTATCTATTTTTTTCCTTCCATATATTTGCCCTAGTTTTTCATTTTACCCAGGCCTTTAGCTCTAACCCTCCCAGCAGCCTGTTCCTGTTGCTATGCCCTGGTCTTCCCATCAGTCTCTTCTCCCCTTGCCTGAGCAGCCATTCCCTGGGCTCCCATCACCAGCCCCGTGGGGCTGGCTGCTGACTCAGCAGAGGACCTCAGTCCTGCTCCTGTAGGCTGCAATAGCTTCTCTCTGCCTCCCCCGCTCTTCCTTCAGCTCTCCTGCTCCCTGCTCTGTGACCTGACTCCTTGCGGGTCTCACCAAAGGGGAGACAATGTGTACAACTGTCTGCTTGGGAGAGGATTCACTCCCCAGCATTACTCACCCCCAAGCCAGCCAGGGGAACCAAAGATTCAACAAAAAAGCTGGGGTGTTAAAAGAGTAACATCTGCAGCTGGCACTGAAACAGGTCAGTCTCTTTTGTGCCCTGATTCCTCAATTTCCACATGAATTCATCTATTTTTCCATTTATTTCTTAATTCTTGCTCTACACATCCAGATACTGTCAGTTATTTCCATTTGCCATTGTATCTATTACCTCCCTGCAATCTCTTCCAATGTTCCTCAGGACCCTCATCCTTGTTCCTCTGTAAACTCTTCCCTATTTGCAGCATCTGCTTCATCCTTACCTCATATATCGTGCTGAGGGTCAGAGTCTCATTTCATCCTTGACTTTCACATTAACCCTCTGAAAACAGTTTACTGTACACTTTCCTTCTAACTTCACCCAAGCCATGATTAACACAGAAGGTGAAACACACATACATGTGCAGACTAGGTACTCTGATACAATGAATCAACACAGAATTCATGGCTGACATACCTTGCCATACTTCTGTGCATAGGATCCTGTTAGCAGCGAATGAAAGACTATGATTGTTTCATCCAAATCCCAAACAAATACACGCTGAAAACAGAAATGGGGATAATATTATTAAACAAATAACATCAAAGTCCCACCACCATCCCACCCAGGAGGCTAAAAACCAACCACTTAACCAAGCAAGTTGTCTCTGAAAATCAGCAAAAACAGTAACATGGTAAACATGGTAAAAAGTCAGAAGGAGGGTAACTTTTGAAGTTTTCAACCATTTCTTATTTGTCCTCTAAAAAGCTTTTCAAAAAAGTTGTATAAACATGGATTTCAGAAATGTGATGGGGGTCAAACATAATTGTTAACTTAAGGATAAACAGTACTCTCAGATACTTCTCCATGTCTTATTGATTCAAGGTCTTTATTTCTACTGTATAGCTAAAATAAAATCTTGGGTAAAAGTGTTATATGTCACATATAACGTCATACAGAATTTAAATAATATTGTAGGATAAAATGGATTATGCTAACTTAAAAAAATATAGGAAAGAAAACTCCTTATATTTATAAGGGGTTCATTTTCATTGGTAAACTATAAAATAAGACAGTAAAACTGAAATGTAAGAAGATTTTTTTCACCGGAAAAGTTAAATCCTTTGAAAAGCACAAAATGTTTCAGTTTCTGTACAAAAGTCATGGCATTTACATTCAGTGACTAGCATGGCAGCCCACCCTGCCACTCCAGAATCAGCTGCATGGTCAGCCAAGTCCCAGCAACAGTCTTGTCTTCTGCTGCACCCAGCACTGGTCAAAGGCAGAGCAGTGGGGCTGGCCAGGCAGCAGGGGACACCCGTGCAGCATGCTTCCCTAGTGCCAGACCTGGAGTGTTTCATACATACACAGGCACTCTTGTTTCCTCCTCCTGCTCCTGTCACTGTAAGGCAGCTCACTGCTAGCACAGGAGTAATATGACTGTAATTACTCTGTTGCTAAGAGGTCACCTGTGTTTGAAATCATCTGTATTAGGCGGATACATTTCTTCATGAAGGCACTGATCTTGCACATGCTTAATGACAGTTATAACTTTACTGATGTAAGGTGCCTCACTGAAATTTACTGACATTACTTGCAAGCACAAGGACAAACTTGTACCTAAGTATTTGAAAGGCTATGGCCAGATGTTCCTGCACATTTGTGCTGCATTCATAAACACATGTAATTAAGCTGAGCGATATACGAAGGATTTCCTTTTTTAAAAAAAATGAAAATGTGACAACTTTGCATACAGAAGTCTCAAAATTTTGTGGTTCTACTTCATGAGAAAATGAAAGACAAACAATCTTAGAGCTAAAAAGTGGAAGGCTGAATCACATTTGCTTTTCTGCATAAATTTGTCATACAGAACAGTAATGTCTCACTATACATGTATGTTAAACCAGCAACTAATATCTGTCATAGTCAGTTAGAGAGACTAAGTCCATGATGTTTTCTAAAATGCTTTAAGCTATTTCCACAGCTGTAGTTTTCAGAATTTACTTTTCATCAGAAGAAACCTCCACATTACCATTCATCAATTACTGTAGGCATACCTCCAAGTCACTGTCCGGAGGGGGTGATGGATTATTCTTCCGCCCTCTACCCCGAGACTTTGACCCAGAACTTCTACATGTTCTCTCATCAAGATCTTTGATTGGCGTGGAAGGGCTCTGCACTGTGTCAAACTCCCCTGTGAAGTCAACCATTCATGGCAAAATTAGTGCTGCGTTTTAAATACTAAACCTTTTTTCTCAAAGCCAGACATGTCTATATGCAAACTCAACCACAAGATGCACCAAAAAGAGTTGTATAAAATGAGTAATAATGCGGTTTGTCTTATGTAGATGGAATCTGCAGATGCCACATACACTTTTCTCTTTACCTAGGAAACACTGTAAACTGTAGCAGAATATGAGAAAGTTTAAAATGACACATATGCATGTGCAGATCTATATACAAATACACATAAGCCCATGCAAAATATTGATGTATCCAAAGTAGATATATTTTAGAAGTTACACTAATGACTTCTCAAAACATAAAATGCCTTTTGAAGTAGTTCATTTCCCATGTTTGGAGTTCAGCTATACTTTTTCCAAGACCTGTGTTACTTTTACCAGAACACCCTTTGGCACTATTCCACACACTAGAACAGCCCTTCAGCTTCCTGCTTCATCTCCTCCTCCCATTTCACCTGCTCTTAAGTAGAGCTCACTTTTTTTTTTTTTAGCCCTTACCTCTGCCCATAAATTGTCAGAGAAAAGTCATAATATTAAATGCATATTCCAGTTGCTACCAGAAAGAGGGTGAAGTCATACAAGTATGACTGATCATCTTTCTCTAAGCATTAGCTATTGTCTGCTGCCAGAGAAATGATGTGCTGAAAGGACCTTTGATCTGGAATGGCACAGCTGCTCTTAACACTTGGGCCAATCCCTGACTTACCTATTTAATCTACTTTGCCTTTGCTGGTAACAGTGTGCTTTAGAGGTGATCAGAACCAGTAGCTATGTAAGTCAGATAAAATGAAGAAGGTATCTCCTGAAGGATGACATGGAACTTGTCTTTACAAATTACTTTTATGCCACAACTCAGTAAATGGAAAATAACCTTTTATTCACAACACAGTACCTTCAGTGTTCCTTTAAAACTGCTAGACATAAATGCAGTTTGGCTAGGTTCCCAAATGCTACATGACATAAATCTTCCTTCATCACTGATCCTATTAATGATTTGATTTTTCTCCATTAAAGAAGGAAAGGCTACAGCTTGATCTGACATCTACTACAGAGTTTGATTCAAGGGAGTCCTTGTGCTGCATGTAATTGTGCACTTCTGGGCCACTTTGGTAATATTTGTTAAAAGTGTTCATGATGGCACATCTACAGAATAAATTAACACTTGGTACAAACACTTCCCAAGAATCATCTATAATGCATTTGATTTTGAACTGGAATCTGAATATTTTTTATTTTTACTAAAGAATGTCACTAAGCGTCCAGCAGATCAAAGAGGAGGTTTTTTCTGCTCTGTTCTGAACTTGCAAGACCACATCTGGAGAAATGTGTAGTTTTGGGTCTCCAAGTAGAAGGAAGATATTGACGAACTGGAGTTAGTTCAGGTGAGGGCAGGTAAGAGGCTGAGCATGCAGGAAGAAAGGCTGAGTGACTCTTCAGAAAGGTATGCAGAGAAAAGGACAGAAGATGCAACAGACAGAAATCACAGCAAGGGATATTCCTGTTAGACCCAAGATAAAAACTCCCTCACTGTAAGAGTGGTCAGGCCCTGGGACAGATGCCCAGAGATGCTGTGCATTCTCCATCCTTGGAGATACTCAAAACTCCACTGAACACAGCCCTGAGCAACATGATCTAAGTTGGCTTGTCCATGAGCAGGTTAGATCAAAAGACCCACAGAGGTCCCTTCCAGCATTGAATGTTTCTGTGATCCTCCCTGAGTCATTCACCTCGTTCTCCCTCAACAACACAATAAAAAACAATTCTGGTCTAGCAGGCTCTAAGAAGAGAAAATAGACTGCAGTCTCAGTTAAGATTCTGCGCGCAATGTAACACAATAGTTAAATTCTTAATCTATTCCATCATTTATTTATACCTCACAGTGATCCACATACAGAAGATTATTAAAATAAATACACCAGGAGATATATTTATATATCTTGACTGGAAAAATACTGCTGTATTTCTTGGAAGAATAAAATTTAAGACTGTAATGTCACATTCCTGAATGGGAGCTCTAGACATTGTGAGGAAAGAATTCAAGATTCAAGGAAAGGGGAGAATAAAAAGAAAGCTAGTTCCTGAGTGTACTGGTTAGGACATTTACCTGGAGAAGGACATAGCTAGACTGCACTGCTGTCTCCAGGGTACCCTTGTTTATTTGACTGAATGATTAATATGTATGAAGTATAAAGATGTATTTTCATGGCCCAGAATCCACATCCCTATATCTCTTGAGTGGAAGGCGATGAATCCTCCACGAAGCAGGAGGAAATCAAAACTGTCTTGCTCACTTCCTGGGAAAGTATTAGTTCTGCTATGGCCTGGAAGAAGATACTATGACTTTTTTCCCAAACCAGGTGATGGCTACTTCTATGTTGCGAACCCAATGTGCTTCTCTGCTCAAGCAGAACAGAGCCACACTTTCGGGCAGCAGCTAAGAAGAGTTTTTCAAACCCATAGTTTGAGAATTTATTCCAGATACCATTTTAGATAGGTCTGCTCTGAACTAGATAAGGATCATATGCATTCAATTGTAGTTTCTCTTCCAGTTGAAACTCTTATTGAAACCCTTATTGATGGGAAAATTAAGTCGCAATAATATCTAATGAAGAATGTTCCTCTCATATTTTCTCTTGTCCGTAAAGCAGAGAGAGAGCAGAGTTCTTGTTGACTAATCATTTCTATTCCCAGCACAGTGCTGAAGTCAGTAAGGACACTGCAGGCAGTGGAGCAATCAATAAGGTCACATTAACTTAGCTCCTTCCCCATAAGATGAACAGTAAAATATACTTCAGTAAATGAACTAATGTACAAAAAGATGATTCATAACTAGAGTCCTTGTGCAGTACAAGGCTACACTGGTTTCAAAAGAAGCTCTGAGTGTGCGAGAGTTCTGTATGAAAACGTAATTTCCTAAATTTTTCTGACAGAGTGGAAAAAATGTCCCAAACCAAAACCCCAGAAATGAAAAGGCAAAAATTAAATAAGATGAATGTTTACATTCTTACCACAAAGGTCTTCATATTTATAACATTTCAACATTTTACAACAAAATCAAAGCTCATTTCTACAGTAATGTATTAAAACATCTGTTCTCAATGACTGTGTTTACTCTAATCTACCAAAAATAAAATATATATAAAAAAAGCCCTATTCTCAATCTTCTCTGAAAGTATCCAAGTAGTGAATTTTCATTTAGCATTAGCCATTACCAGTTGCCTAGGGCTTCTGCTTGGGTCAGTGCTGTACATGATTGCATAATTATCTATTAATCAGTACTGTAACTAATCACCATACCTTGTAAGTTCTAGATATTTAAAGCCAACTTTATTTCATTACACTAATCTCTAAATCAGAATGAGCAGCTGTCTCTTACTTGAATGCAAGGTATGCACCTATTTTAGAACTGCAGAATTCAGTAGTGCATGTTTTTTTGAACAAGTGTAGGTTTAATTGCTTGATTTGCTTTTTACCAACAGCAGGCTAAAGGAGCAACTGCATTTTCTTAACCTCTGTTTGCTTTATAAATAAGGTCAATGCTGATAAAAGGAAAATGTATTAAAAATCCAACCATGTAACATTAAAGAATACGAGACATTCTAGTACCAGAGTACTGAAAACATTACCCTCATGAAGAGCTCTTTCTGCAGCTCATATTAGAAATTTTTATTGCACTGTTTGAAATTTTTTAGCTTTTCCAGTATTCAACACTTGCCTAATAAATATCCTTCATAGCCTCCTCCCACTGGAACTATCAGCAGCATCAGAGATCCAATAGAGCAAGAGGAAAATGTTAAAACCAGAACATGGAATAACCACTTTATCACAGATATTTGTACACTAGTTCAGGTCTAGCATGAAGCATTCCATGCCATGGAGACTCTACACCTAGCTCCAGCTAGAGGGCAAGGAGTTACACCACCACCACTACAAAGCTAGGTGGTCTTTCATATAAAGAAGGTTGTTTCTCACCTCTAGATTCATGTGAACATCCCCTCCTCCCTGTTAAAACGCAGTTGTACAGGAGAAAAGAGGTGTGGGCAAAGTCTGCATATAGAAGAATATCTCCTGGAGAAGCTGCAGAGTGTGACTTCATTGTGGGTACCAAATTAAGAGAGACCAAACTCTCCTGCATCCCAGTAACCAAATTGAAGCTAATAACCCATGAGTGATTCACCTTGCCTAACTCTGGACATACAAAAGTGAGGTGCCTAAATATGAAGCTTTTACTGAGGCCTCTTTCCTCCTGTAGAATTTTGTCTGCCCTAGGTTAAATGTAATCATGTACTCATCAAATGTACTCATCTCCTGAGACCTCATCTCAGGATTCATCTGACATTCAATTTGTGATGAACTGCCCTTGGAGATACCTATTTGTCTCACAAATACTCTTTGGTAATAAGTGCACTTTCAAAAATCTTAATATAAGACAGGCACAATACAAGCTGTGGCAAGGCTAAGAAGGTTGTGGGATGGATGAACTTCTGAGCCCCTTCATACACTCCTTATGCATTGACTTTTGTTACATAACCTTATCAGACAGAGCAGCCAGAAGACAGCTTAAACATTACAAGCATTTTTTTCCTGGCTTGTAATGAATTATTGCTTGCTATAAGTAAGAGGAAGGTAAAGTCTATTTCAATTTTCATCTCATTTTTTTTTACTTGGTCAAGAAATAAATTTGTAACTGATATTAACTCTTGAGCTTATGAGGCTTTATTAGGAAAACAAGAAACCCTGTATGTGTGGAAAATACTACAGGCTTTAATTAGTTATCTGAACAGCTAGCAGAGATGGCAAAAAAGTGCCTTGCTGTGTTTAATCTTAGATTTTAGTTGGAAAAAGTCTCAAGGGTAAAGCAATAAAGACCTGTTAGACAGCAAGGGAACACAGCAAGTGCTGAAACTCTGCAGTTATTATCTACTGTATCTGAAGTGATCTCCAAGACACTGCACCCCACGGTTGGAGATTTATTTTTACAGTGACACGGAAGGGTGTAGGCATGTCATATATTCACAAAGTGGGTGTTTCACTTAGCAGAGGGTCGCATGATCAGTGCAACACTTCACAGAAATAAGGAGTGTGTGGGCAGATTAGTAAGCTCAGAGGCACAACCTACTTAACAGGGAAAGAGTTCATGTGCTTAAGCAATCCACAAACAAGAAAAATCCTTTCTGTTTCACAGATGTGAAGCCTTCAGCAAATTTTCAACCTGTTCTAACTAAGCAAGATTCCTTTTCTTTGCCAATGCTATTCAGTACTAAGGGAGTTTTGTAATACATGATAAATTTATACAGCATTTCTAGGAAACACAGATACACAAGGGAGAGACAATATAATTTCCTGATTTTCTCAAATAAGAATATGGAGGAATAACAAAAGAGCAAGGAAAAGTACATAGGACATGCACAGTTATCAAAACATCACTTCTGAGTACTTCACCCTCTTTTAAAAATACTTTGCATACAATCTGTGTCTGTTGCAGATGTTCTGCAACTGTTGAAATTTCACTGGATTTCAAGTTACCTCTTGGCATTTTCTTCCTCAGTTTGCATTCTGAGACTACTGAATAATGTTTTACACTTCCATCAAGAAACAAGGGAATGTGTATCCCCTATAACCATTCCATACCATACCACAAACATGGACATGGGTGTACACACACATGCACAAACACACACACACTTTAAATATCAACCTGAGGAAAACAGTTGACGAAAAGATTTCAACTCACACAACTAAAATTCCAATGTTTTTAGTGACTATAAACAGCGTATATGAAAGACGAGGCCTTGCTTATACTTTTCTACACAGTATTACCCTTCCTTTGTACAAATTCGTTATTACAATACGTAAGTTTTTCTACTCCGCTTCTCAGTGAGATGGTACAGTTATCTGGATGATAATTAGGACTCACTGAAAATTGACTCATTGAAAATTGACTCATGTCATGAGTCAATTTTGTAATTAATGCACATATTCCCCCTCTATTCAGAGCCTAATCCAAAGCCCATTTTTTAAAGTTTTTTAGAAAAGCTCACAGTCTGTGGGAAAGGCAGACAAGTAACTATGCTGCACCAGCAGAGTCTGTGTCCCTGCAAGAGACTGCTCTAAAAGCACTGAGCCAGGCAGCTGGCAATTGATAACCTCTTCTATCGATGCTACGCACAGCCTTAGTAGGCTACTTAAGTTCTCACTATGGGACATAATACTGAGCTAGATCTTTAAGAACTTCCTCTATATTTGAAACAATATGGGAAAATAAGCGTGAAAAAAACAGGCTCTGTTCACCCAGTAAGGATACCACACTCATTTGACTGTTGCTGTGAATTTCTAAACTAGCCTAACAAGATCTTCATAGCTCTGCACGATACTATGCATAATTTAAAATGTATAATTCTACTTTCCCTTTCCTTTACTCCCATTCATATTAAACACAGAAAAACTGGTGAGATGTTCAGCAACTCAGAATTCCATCATGAAACAACAAAAAAAAATAAAATTAAGAAATCCACATTAACATTTATGTTTGCAGAACACAGAAAATGGAGCAGGTAAATGAACGTGAACTGGGTTATATCAATAATAAGAAAAAAAGAAATGCTGCCACTACCCAGCAGTGGAGCCTTCGGAACACTGTGTAACACGCTGTGCTGTAGTGGATGTCCACAAGGGGGCACAGTTGGGCAGGCAAATTTGAGTCTCCCGATGTCTCCTGACAACCTGGTTTCTTTCAACTTCAATTATTCCCTCTTTTTTTTTTAAGTGACTCACGGTAGTAACCGATTACTCTAGCTTTAGTTACCTAAATTAGTGAATTACCAAGCATGGCTAATATACATGTGAATAAAGCCCAGGTATTGTTGCTAGCACGACTGGGACATAATTAAATAAAAAAAAGTATCTTGTTTTAAATTCTTTACAGCAATACTTCAGAACATGCAGGTGGATACAGGAATGTATAATTACTTTCAGTAATAGAAGAGCTTGATGATTTTTTCTTTCAAAATTTGCTAAATGTTTGTTGCCATACAGTTGTTTTTGGTACTAACAGATCCTTACCAGACTGTTGTAACTTTCTTCAGGCCTACTCCTTCCACAACCATCTCAGTCTGCAAAAAGGTTTTTTTAACTAACAAACAAACTAGACAAGTTTCCTAACTAAACAAACAGACAACTTATTTTGGCTGGCATTCAAACAAGATGGACATGGAAATCTTGTCTTTTTAAAAGCACAGAATAAAATACAAAAATTGTTTTCACCTGAATGTAGATCTGTACCTGGTTGACTAGTCAGGCCAGAGAGAGAGTCCTGTAACTGGTAGGTTGATGATGATGAAGAAGTGCCATCAGCCGTGTTGTTTGAGGTCATATATGCACCATATGTTGATGCTGAGTAATACTGTGCATATTGATTTTGGCCAAAAGCTGTGTATGATGGATAATCCTGAAATAGCAAATGAAGCAGAGTTCTTAATTAGTTATAGTAAGGAGTGATTTTTTTCCATTAAGTATTTCTAAGTGTGCAATCATATGACTTTTGCAAGAGTTTTTGGGGGCTAGTTTAGATTTTGTTTTTTTTTTTAAACTTAAAGATATTGAAGATTTTTTAATTTAAGGATATTGACCAAAAGACTACAGGGAGGCTGCTGAGTATTTAAGTGGCAAAAGATGCAACTAGGCTTCCATTGTGATCACTCGTAGAAAACAGCACTGTACCACAGTGAGTCTAGTTCAACATAACAGAACAAAATTAAAATAACATGCTATCATATGAGTTATATAAATCCTGTTGTAATCAACAAACCACAATGGTAATATTCATACCTGTTGTGAACTACTGAAGTTTGTAGAATTTGAAACAGAATTGTTTGCATAAATAGTGGATGATGGTGTAAAACTAGAACCTAAAAAATACAATTAACTGTAAGAACTTGCTTGTGAATCAAAATAAAATTCTAACACAATATTCCATGTTAAGATAAAGGCAAATCAGAAGAACAAACAACTTGCATTTAAATGCTAAAATATTTTAATGAAACTGTAACAGAAATTAAATACTACTTCCACGCATACAGACATACATTCCTCTTCACATCATGCAGGGAAGGTATTGGCAGTGAGTCATTAAACCAATCAAGAAAGCATTTTTCAATTTATTGCAGTGTCTCATGTCTCCTTGAATATTGCCTTAATTTCTAAGGCCTAACACTTCAGTGTATGTCCATTTATGAAACAAAAAAACTTTTAAAAGAATATTGTAATGATCCATGTGTTTTTAATCAATCTGTAATGAGGCATGTCCTTGTTTCCAACATAAGTCAGATGAGTCATAATTCAATTTGTAATATTTAAAAGATCAACCACTGTATAAGAAGCTTAAAAATGATCCAAATAGGTTATCAATGATCAAAGGGTAATAAATGAATCAATAATTGAATAATAAATGAAATAATAAATCTGAATTAAGGAGAAATTCTAAAAAATTATGTTAATCCAAAGCGAAACAAGTATCAAATAAGAGCATGCTCAGAAACACGGAAACAAGGAAAAGTGACTTGTGTACGCTATTCAGTACAGCAAATGCTTCTAGTCCTGACATGGGATTTCACCCCCTAAAATAATGAAGATGCAAGTAGGGACTGCATTGCATGGTCAGATCTAAATTAACAGATGACCAAAATGAATACACATATGCTTATTAGTACTGGAAAAAAAATACTTGGCTTTAAATTTTAGAGGTAAAAGGAGCTGCCAACGATAAGCATACTTGCTGGAGCTCACAAAAATGAATGGAAAATATATTGTAACTATGAGGAAAGAGAGAGCCGTTTGCAGCAGCAGGATGGGATGAGCCCTGACAGTGGTGGCTACTCACCTGGCATCTGGTAAGAGTAGGGTGTTTGGCCTGGCTGTGGGGTGGAAAACCCTGGGCTGTAACTGAGGCACCCGCTCTGCAGTGGTGATTGGGTCTGCGAGAGCCCGCTTTCCGTCTTGATGCCTGGCAACATTACACCCAAATCTGTATAAGAAATTAATTTTCAACTGATTCTTTCAAATCTTTTGTTATGGTTGGGAAAATAAAATAAAAAAGAAAGCAAAAACCATTCATGTTGGCATTGCTCTTACTTCTATATAAAGTGAAGTAATAAGAGGTCAAATACCGTAAGTGGGTAAGCTGTACGGCTGTCCTGTCTGTGAGTACGCTGTATAGACCGCTGGCTGCTGCATTCCTGAATACTGGGTTTGTCCAGCATAGGCAGACATTGTTTGAGCTGCTGGTGTAGAAAGAATGTGTGGATAGGGCCTAAATATCAGGAAAAATAGCATTACTGTGGCAACAAATACTCTGTATGTTGATTCAAGCAATAAAGTAAAGAAAAAAGTTTAAAGATGTCCAAAGGCAGTTCATTATTCTGCCAACTGTTCCTCTTCTGGGATTTATTCCATCCCCCACTGAAATAATCTGAAAACCATTCCAGATCACATTCCCCAGGGCATGGTAAGCATTTTATGCTGTCCCATCACTACAACTTAATTCTCTAGCTGCTCAGCTCTAGGTAGACTGCGCCACTGCTGTGTACGGCTTTTTATGTATCTGACCCCTTTCAGCCAAGATCAGCACGCCTAAATCAGGAAAGCCCCCACGCTTTCATAATCCAGAAGAGGGAAACGTGGACTGGAAGAATAAAGGAAATACAGACGTGAACATTAAAGCTACTACATTGTGTCCTCTGTGTCCAGGTCTGTTTCAACAGACATCTAGCCTATGGCTTCAATAGAAGATGGATCGTGCCCATTGAGAGTGGTATGAAAAATATTGCTGGCAACACTCTGGTAACCAGATGGGCTTTAAAAGTTTGGAAAGTATGGTGTAGAGAAAGAAAGTGGAAATAAAAATGGTCTTTTCTTTATGAATACTGGGGTTTTATAGAGAGATTGAATAAAATAAAAAAAATTGCCCTGCAGAGTTGCAAAAACATACAGAGAAACATTTGTCTTGGATTGTTTTGTAAGTTAAATAAAGACTCTATGGACCAAGAGTTGAATAAACACATTCTGCAGAATTACGCTAAACTGAAACCTGGTTATTAAAAGCCATGACTGAATTTGATTCTAAATTTTTTTTATTGTTTTTTCGTTCTAATTAGCTCAGTACAGTTGGCAGCAGTTATTACCAGAAAAGGATTACTCATTAATTTAGATGCCAATAAATTAGAACAGTAGATTAAAAATTCTATTAAACTTTGTAATGTATTTGGACCAAAGTATCTCATAGTTTGCCAAAACCTGTTTTAAGAGGAATGAGGGCTGTTCTTAGCTCAGGCACCTACTTTCTGTATCAATAAATATTGGCTACCACGTTATGAATGCAAACTTGCTTAAAGAAACTTGAAAAAGCCCAATTTTTGGCAACATTTTTGATATTTTCTCTGTATCAAAATCACACAGGTAGCTGTATCACATACATAGAAACAAATAGATGGCACACTGAAATCAAGGACCCTTGTGCACAACACTGACTGTAGGACAAGCAAACTAATAAACTGCCAACTGCAGCAGCTTCATATAAGATCTTCAGTGCTTTTTCCTAACGGATTCATGTGATTGCCCAAGACTCTGGTTTCCTCAAAAAAGTGAAATAAATTTTCTAGTCCTAACAACACCCATTGGCTTAAAAATGAAAAAGAAAAAAAGAAAAAGAAAAAAAGATTAAAAACTAATCCAATTTATTTGCTTTTTGATTTGCTTATGATATTAGAGAAGGAGGAGGAAATCATGGTTCATGACTGTGGAATGTTTGGAAGCCTTTGGCAGCACTGGCACTGGGAGGGTCTGTGAGAGGGTCACCCCTCAGTATGCATCTTGCACATGCAATTGTGATTTCTACACATACACTGTCTTCTTCAAAATAAGTCTGTAATACATTGCCAAAGCTGTAAAGGTGCTGATGTCTGAAAACATAATACTCTGATTTTTTCCTTCTGTGTGTGCAGTTATCCAAGGGTATTTCTTATGCAGCAACACTGCATACAGCAGGGTCTCACTCTGTAGCCACGTGAGGGAAAAAACTTTGGAGAGGAGCTAGTACTGGAGTCAGTACTGAGGCTTAAGTATTTTCCTTTTTCCCTGTTTCTTCTGCTGAGGAGCACTTGTTTGCAACAAACCACAGAACTGCCTACAGCCAATTTCCTATAAAAGACTAGAAGAGGTGCAGACACTAACTTGGAGGGATATATCTGTGGAGAGTATTGGTGCGCTGATCTTGGGCTGTAGCCACTACTTGTTATTACTGCAAAACAGAAAACAAGAGTACAGCAGTTAGAAACATCATGAGACCAATACAGCCAGTCTGCATATCAATGCGGCAACATTAGCAGAGAAGCTTATTGAAATGGACAACTTTTCAATAGAGTAGATGTTACCTGAACTACAACATCTTAACACAAAAATTAAAACCCCACCAAACCATTCATTGCTGTACCGAACTCTTTAGCTGGGATGGGTGTGTTGTGCTTTTTCAGCTTGACTTGATATGTTTCTGAATATACTGCAGAGGCACACATTTCATGCATCATCTGCTATGCACACACCACAGGTCTTTCAAATTTGCAAGGTTTTATTAAAACTGGTAGTTAAAAAAGAATCTTGTGATTTAACATATGGTATTGCACAGGATTGAGATAACATATATATACTTTTAAAGTGTCACATTAACAAGTTGGATTTTAATACTGGATAGGAAAAATAAGTTTTATATGGATGTGGTTAATTTTAGTCAGCTTGGGTGATGGAAGATACCAGAAAATGAATGACTACTAGAAAACAAATAGCATTCATTATCAACAGGCAATTAGAACATGTCCACTAATAATAATTTTATTTCAAAAGTAACCATGAAACAGTACTGTTCAGTAGCCATCAAAATCATGTGTCTATACTATTCACAGCTGCATTCTTCCAAGAAAGCTAAGAGAACAATAGTCATCTCCCAGTAAAATTTCATTCAGAAGCGGTGCTCACGCTGGATTAGTTCCAAGTGTTTGGAAGTTTCCTTTAGCCATCTGTCTTGACTAAGACAGATGTACTCCAAATATATGTACTCTGAAGTGTTGAACCAATCCCTTCAGAGCAAATCCATACTGGGAAAACATAGAGAGTGTCGCTATTAGGCCATCTGCTGTTCATTCACTTTTCAAAAGATTAAAGTAGTACACAAAGAAGCACTGGAATTTCTTTAGTCTAATCAATCATACTTGTACTTCAAAGTGTACCCTCTTCCTGAGTTGTTCATAATGGTAGTAGAAATGAACTTTCAGAATTATATAAGTGACAAATAGGTTTAGGTCCCTAACTATTTTATGAAACATGATATATTTCTACCTCCAGGCCTAATTAACGTCTTTGAGATCTATTGCTTTGAACATATGCAGAACTTCATATTTTTAAAGCTAGTTTAAATGCATTTAAATCACGTAGGACTTAAAAGGAAAATACAGTAGAAGAAAAAACCACCTTTTTAAAATGTGTAGCTGAGCATGGCTTGAAAATAAATAAGAATTAGGTAATAATTTTTGGAACACGTGCCACCAGATTTAATGAAAGGGTTCCTGATTAAAAAGATGTGGAGAGTTTCTCTGTGCTGGAAATATCCTGAATTTATTTTGTGTGATTATTCTTTTTCTTTTTTTTTTTTTTTTTTTTTTTTGAGAATGCCTTTCTCAAAAGGCATTCTCAAATACGCCTACTCCCAGACTTAGACAAACCTATAGCTGTATCTAGCAACATAATCAGTCCATAGAACTCTAAAGGGTGCTCTTAGATATTTAAGGCTTGAAGAATAATTAGTCTTCCCTGTTGTATACCTATGACCTTTCTAAAGACAAGCAATAGCTAGCAGAGTGACCTTGGTGATTCTCAGGGCAAGGAATTTTTGTGATGCATTACTGGCTTATCGGTTCCTTTTTGCCCATACTGCTCCATTTTTTGCCTGATCATTTGCTGGATGACAGCCCACTTGATTAATCAGTTTGGTTAAAGCACATTTACCTTTCCACCACACCTGATGTAAACTACAAAAAATAAATTCTGTTCATTCAAATCACTTCTGTTATCAAAACCTAGTGTTTTTTTCAGCAAAAACTGCCCTGCTTGCTTTCTTATTCTTTCTGCATATACCTTATTTTATAAATTCAGACAAGAAAATAAAATAGTTGTCTGGTTTTGAATTTCCCTTTTTTCTTTCATTTTCCCTACAGTTGTAGGGAAGGGAGAGAAAAATATGTAAATGCTTCCAAAGTAAACTGTACTTTTCTAACTAAAACTTTTGTTCCTTTCACTTTCTCTGGTAGCTTGTCCCATCAATCTGTGTGCTAGATTTTAGGCTGTGAGATGTTAGACCTACTATAAGAGAACATGATGATTGAGCGGACCCTGTACCTCCTAGATCAGATTGTTAAATCTAAGAGTTATCAGACTTAAACAACTTTCACTGTCAGACAGCATCTATTTCAGAGGACCATTGGAGATGGAGGAAATGGTGGAGGCAGACAGTTTTTGTAACTGTGCCACTTTATATTGCCATTTATACGAATGGGGCTAAACACTGGTTTATGTTGCTTATATTGAAAGCAAAGTCAAAGCTGTTCCTTCTCCAAAAAACTCCAATATTTCTAATACTTCACTAACTGAATTTACCAGGGGAATGCTCTTCAGGGCAGGTTTAAGACCCTTGATTTCTTAAGTCTCATTATGGCACCGAGGGCATATTCTAGTCCCCACTAATGCTGATTCACAGAATGGACAAGAAGCTGACAGCCTGCTTTTGCCAGTTACTCTGTTAGCTCAACTGGTCCAAGGTGGCTGTGGAGAATTTAAGTGACCATAAACTGTTCTGAAGGCATATGTAGAGTTCAGTATATTAACACAGGCTGGAGGTTTGTATTTTTTGTTATGCATCTGGAAAATTCTTTGCAAAGAGGTTAGGTTAAAAGGATCGCATTTAAATAACAAAGTAAAATGTCTACACACAAGGGGATCACACATAGGTTACACAGCAGTGGTGTTTCCTAACTATGCCTTTATAGCCTTCAGAAATTGTTTTTCATATCCTTTTTGTGGGTACTAAATACTAAGTAAAAAGGATGATGAGAACTTCAAATGTCTCTCTGTGCTCCATTAAAATGATAAACAGTTCTCAAATTAATACACTATTGAAAGCAATATAAACACAAGAATGCATGCACTCACAGTACAGCAGCTGCAGCAAATTCACAGAGTATGAAAATGCTGAGCTCAAGGCTGTCCAGCTCTCCACATCCTGTATATACCCACCCCAACTGGGGGCTGCTGCAGGACCACAAAGATTCAAATCGAACATGCCAATATTAATTACCAACTGTCATTCTTTGAAGTAAAAGGAGGAGGAAGAAGGGTGTGCAATGTGACTCTCCACCTGGCTAACCTTTGTTAAGAGGCACAGTTTCTCCCAGAGGCAGCTCTGCAGGACAAAGGAACGGGAGCCCTGACTGTGAGCTACAACACGTGAGCTCCAAACCTGAAGAGGAGCTTTCCCAGTGAGCTGAGCAAGGCCACTGTGGCAACTGTCACTCTAAATGCAAGAGATCAATGTGCTTTAGTGCTTCATTTTTCAATCAAAATTGGGATTTATCACAAGTTACCTGTGAAGCCTAATCTCTCTCTCCTGCCCTACACCTCACACAGTCTGTTTGACCATCACTTTCTGTGTGTTAAAGCTGGTCACTAGGGACAGAGCTGGCTACTTAAACCCCACAGGGCATGTTCAACCTCCTGCTCAGCTCTAGGACATATCATGGGTTTTGACTGCCCTTGGAGCATGGAAATCAGTTTCAATGGGTAGGAGATATGAAGGAGAGAATTTTTATGTGGTAGACTCTCAAATGCATCTCAGCACCAGCAGAGAGATACAAAGACCAGTCACAAGTGGTGCTCCTCAGAGGTCCGTATTGGGACCAATCCTGTTCAGCATCTTTTTTGGTGATAGTGGGATTGGGGCGCCCTCAGCAAGTTTGTCAGCACTAAGCTGTGCGGTGTCGTCAACATGCTGGAGAGAAGGGATGCCATCCAGAGAGGCTTTGACATGCTTGAGAGGTGGGCCTGTATAGAGATCTCCTCAACACTAATTTTTGAGTCAGTGGAAGCTAATGGGTGAGTGGCACCTGGGGAAATTAAGCTGTTACTCGGCTACCTAAACCTGAACTGAAGGCTGCAATTTTTGGTACCCTTTCATGAAAATGTTTTAGCTCTGTTCTGTACATGGAACCTGACTCACATGTCTTCAATAGTGGTAGAAACTGATAAAATTTCACCAACAACAAAAAAAACATATATATGGTTGGACAATTTATAATCTGTAATTATTACTAATAAAATTTTAGGATAGAGTAACAACAGAGTACAAAAGAAAATAAAAGTTTTAGCCAAGACTATTAATTCTTTTCTGGAACTCGTTAGACTTAAAGCTGATGGGAGTCCTTTCAGTATAATAATGAGGAAAATGTTTTCAGTTCTTCTAACCAGAAATTGTATACTCTGGCTTTACATGTCACAAAAGACCTTTTCTTCAGGCACTAAATTTGTTATAAGTACTTCTATGAATAACCAACTTCAGAGTATATCTGCATTTATTGATGCCTAAAAAACAATTCCAGAAACATACCCTCGATTTTAATTGCACAGAAACATTGTAATTTCCAAAATATTTTAAATAGTACATGACTACCTAAGTCTACCACAGTAATAACAGTATCAGTGTGGAGTGGCAATTCCTCACTCCAGTGTCATTTCAGTCGGGCCATCACTGAACTAGTATTTTCAGATGCAAAATTTATTCTTGTCCTTCTCCTTGTTAATATTATTGTTAGCAGGACTCAGCTTAATGATTAGAATGCAGATTATTTGTACTTTTTCACAGGTCATCACCATTTAATAATTTATAGGAATCTAATTAAAAATTGCTGTTTATTTGATTTTTTTAAAGAATTAACTGAACCTTATGATTATTTAAAATAAGATAAAGACTTTATGGGAAGAAAGTAGCTCCTGGCAATCTGGTCGGTATTTAACTGCTCATAGCAATAAAAAGATTAGCACTGAAATAAGATTTTAAATTTTACAAATTAGAATGGCTATTACAGATACAATCAATTTTTTTGCTTCCTAAGACTGTACAGGACTAACACTGAGAAAAAATCTGAAGTACAAGAACATTGTTATTATGAGATTTTTGCATAATCATTTTATGCATCATTAAAGCTCCTTTAAGATCACAGCTCATGAAAATTATAATTTTCAATTACAAAAATGAAAAAAAAATTATTATGTATTAAAATGTTACTTTATTACAGTTTTTTAAAGGTTACTTCCATGCAGTGAAATGTTCATTAGTGAGAGTTATTAAATGCTATATTAATGTGCATCCAACAATACGTGATCTTATTATGGCTTTACCTGACCCAGTAAAAGTGTCAAGCGATCCATCTCCAGTTGTTGTTGTTGTTTCACTGCTGTTCATGGGTTCTGTTTTGACTGCAAGAAGAGACACTACATAGAAGAATAAGCAGACATGAGATTTTAGTTCTATATTTATACTGGAATCTTCATGCCAGTCTCACTAGCAGCAGTCCAGCTAGAACAAGCATGCAGTACAACAGCTTCAATCTTCACTCTACCACCATATTGAGACAATCTACACTTGCTCTGTCTGGAATGGTCATGCATTTACATAGCTTTTCATTTGTGCATTCATCTATCGGTTTTTGCAACTGGAATATCTTCTGGGGAGATTTCAACCTAAATCTAATTGATTCTAACAATTCCCTAAGAGTAGCAGAACGGAAGGAAACATTAGCTGTCAAGGGATGTAGCACATAACAAAAATAGTTCTGCCTGACAAGTGAAACATGCTCATATAGAAGCAAATTGCTTTAACAGTGCCAGCATTCTGCCTTCCCCCTTCCCCTTTTACGGAGTCTGTGGGGGGCTTTTTTAGGTAGGTCACCAGCAAGCAGTTTTCCATACATGAAAAGGGAAGTTTAAAAGAAAAAAAAAATACTCAAGTAGGGCACAAACAACTATGACAAGTCAGCTTCTAACTCAGAGGTTACCAAGCATTTGGGTCCACTCTGAACTCAAACTATTCCTTTCAGATGATTATACACTCTAACCATTCAAGTTAGCACTGAAAGCACCACGAAGGCAATCTGGTTTTTATAGTTTAATATGTTACCTGAACAGACCATCTGTCTGGCATGTACTTTTGCAATAGCGTTTGGGAACCACCCTTCTAACTGATGTAGTAAGAAACAGCGGTACAGAATACACCACAGCTTTTATGAGATGTTTGACTGGCAAATTACCATGATTGCTTTGTGAGTTAGGAGTATGTGTGAGGCTTTAGCACATACATATCAGCAACTTGCTTATAGATACCACAGGACAGGTCACTGCCCTGGGGCATACTGAAGAGGTAAAGAGGACCTGAGAGGGCCACCACCAAGGTTGTATGCCAGGTATCAAAATTCCAAGGACACAGCCTGGGATCTGTGGAGAAGCCTTTGCTGTGACAGCCAGGCTGGCAGAGCCCCCCATTAGGTCTAATATAAGCCAAGCAAAGGCATTTTCTGCCAGGTAGTTACATGATGCCTCTGTGGGACATCAGCTAAGCTGACTAAAGCTCTCATCTGTCAACATCACTGCATCCACGTTTGACTTCACTGGAAATAGTAAGGGAAGAGGGTGATTTTCATGTTCTGAGCTGGCAATGTATTTAAAAACTATGGCTCAGAATCAAGTCACCTAATTTAGCCATATAAATGGTGTGTACTAATCTTGTTTTACGTTCAGTCAAGAAAGAAAGGTACTTCTAGAAGGCAATCAAGTACAAGTACAGCCCAAGCTGCCCACAGTTCACCCTCCCTCTTGCAGTCTGTAGAAGAACAGGTAAGTGGATGAGCCAAATAAGGGATTTTACTGTCTAATGGGAGAAACGTCCAGAACACCTACACAACCATTCTGCTATTCTCCCATGTCACAGAGCTCACTAGGCATTGCACAGCTACCAATATAGCCACCTATTGTTGTAACTCAGGCCTTGCATGAGTTACCTCTCCTACAACATCACACCCAATTTCCAGCCACACCGCTTAAGCACATCAGTACGTCATGTGGGATGCTGCAGATGTCTGCAATTGCACAAGTGACCTATGCTGAATTCAAAGGGGTGCCTGCTTAGATTAAGTAGGGAATATATGAGAAATTGGGATGCATTTATCACTGTGACAGGGAGAGTGCCCTGAAGTGATAATCAAACCAAGTAACACCTCCTTACACAAGTTATACAATTGTATCTTTCCATTACTGTACGATGTTAAAAAAATCTGAATGTGTCTTTCAAATGTAAACTTTTTTCCATTACTGTTTCTCTTAATAAAACTGACACACCCATATATTCTCCCTGCAAGCAGCAGGATGTTAGTACAACATGAAATCATCAGGGAAGAATTTTAGCCACATTTTTCCAAGCTGTTGTGCACTCCTTGTCATTTTGTTATTACCTTCTCATTAAAAAAAAAAAAAAAGAAAGCTGTGACAAAACTTACATAAAATGAGCAGTCATTCATCAATGAAATTTACATAAACAAAAAGCTTAACGAAGTGAGTGCCCCCACTGAACCTCAGGCCCCTCAGCCGTGTGGAATATGTGTTGTTGCCTGAAGCATGAACAGTAATTAAATTGTTTTCTGATTCCTATATACAGATGTCTGCACATACTTCAGCAGGAGAATGAAAGAAAAAATCATACTAAGTTGGGAAGCTCTGTATTTTTCCGTCTGAAGATCTTTGGTAATATTTTCCTTTCTAAGATGCATGTCTCTTTTCTCCGTAGAGTGGAGATTTACCTACCTGAAAAAAATTTTAGTACCTTTATCTCTCTCTATTCAAGAAGAGATTCCACTATTGCCCACTCCAAGCTACAAACCTGTGTTCAGTACTGCATCCAGACACTGCAGTATGAGCCTAACTGTTATATTTAACAAAAACTTCAGTAATTAATTGAAATGTTTACTTTAGAGTTGTGTCTAGCTCTGGTTAATGCCAGCTGCACTGCACCTCCATTAGCACCAACAGTCACCATCTTTTTCTCTTCCTGTCAAACAGAAAAGGATCAAAACCATAGGAAACTCTCTCATGTACTCCCTCATGTACTTAACTTGAGGAAAGCCATCATACTGGCATTGTTCTTTGTTGAAAAATACACATACAAAGTATTTATCTGTTCTTGACTTTAAACAGTTCTACTTTATTACATTCAGATTTTATCACATTAATGAATTCATCAAGGTCTTTCCTCAGTGTAGCCAGAGATTTGGACTATTACCTTTCTTTCTTTATGCTGCATGTCATTAAACCAAAAGGAGAAAAATCACACACAGAATCATCCTTATGTTTCACAAACGCATGGTTCTGATACTACTATTGCAACTGCTCTAGACATAATGCAAATACTAAGAGTTTGCATCAGCATTTTTAAAGACTATACGTTTAATATTCTATTTTCTGAAGTGTGAATTAGTTTGTTTGGTTTTTTATATATTCTGAAACAGTAAAATTAAATGAAAAGCAGTCTCAAGCTGGAAATACATTCGAGTGTTGCTACCAGTGAAGACTGCACATGTCAACAGAGTAAAGCTACCATGACTGTCAGGGGCTGGGACATATGACTACAAGGACAGGCAGAAAAAGACTGTTCTGTCCTAGGAAGAAAAGGCTGAGGGAGAGTTAATTACTGCCTGCAGCTATCTAAAGGGACAGACCAAAGATGACAAAGAACAAAAGCACAGTCTTCTTAAAAGATGCCCTTTGAGATGTCAGAAGGCAACAGACACAAGCTACAGCAAGGGAAAAATCCAATGAGAGGAAAATTTTTCTCCATGTGAGCAGTCAGGCCTTGGGACAAGTGCTATGACACCTCCACCTTGGAGATATTCGACACTCAGCTAGAGACTCTCTTGAGTATCATAACCTAACAGCAAAACTGGCCCTGCTCAGAGCAGGGGTTGGCCCAGCTGACCTCCAGGAATTCCTTCCAAACGTCATTATTCTAAGATGAACTCAGAATACAGCTCCCACCCAGGCAACAGCTTCTACAATACATATTCTTTACTTAATGAAAGGACTTAACAGCTCAACTTGACTTCTACTTTACCAACCGTTTTTTTTACCTAAAGAACCTCTGTATGTTAAATACTGAAAATGAACGAAGACTTTTAGGGGCAAGAGATGCTACTACTATGCATGAAGCATGACAAGCAAATGGAATAGCTACTAGAGCACCAAGTGTTACTGAAAGCTAACATAAATCACTAAACCAAAGCTTGTCATAGGAATGATTTTCCTCTTTCTTTTAGAGAGCCTTAAGGGTTTTCCTAGGTACACACTCAACCAGAAGCACACCTATGGAAAATTAGATTTAATGCAAGTAATGCAAGGACTTTCTCATTAGATGTCCCTACAACTGATAATTAGTACTTAAATTACTACCTTCCACATTATGTGAACGTGCTGAACACTTAACTCTGGTAACAGACTAAGTTAGCTCAGTCCTTCCTTAAACTCTCATAACTGAGCAGAAGCATTCACAAGAAATTGATTACTCTAATGCAAACTACCTTTTGTGTTCAAGTCTGAACTTTTTTTGGGCGTAAATTCTCTCTGTATATGTGGCTTACAAGTGGCAAGCTAATTCGGAGGGAAAGTGTTTGAGATCTTTCTAACTTTAGTCTAACCTGCACAAGTTTAAGCACCTGTGTAACAGCCTGTAGAGGGTCATAATGATGAATGGTTCCATCTATAGCTAATCCTGTATGTACTGCAACAGTGACATGTATATAATGATTAATCATTATAACTGATAAAAATTAATAATACATGACCAGAACCTCACGAATGAAAACAACAGCTTGGAAAATTTGGCCAGATGTTTGTAAAGTGGCAAGTTACATATAGTAGCACACTAGACATAAGCAATAATTAATCATGAAAGAGGAGGAGTAGTAACAATAATGTCAACCTTCATTTGTGCTCAAGTAATCAACCAATGTTTTACCTAAAAATTAAAGAAAAAAACCTGGGCATTCTGTGGAAAACCCATTGGTCTGACTTCCAGCAATGCTGACTGCTGGCAGTTCCCAGCAATGTTGATCACCATGGGGCTCTTCCAGTTTCTCAGAGCATGTAGATAGTTAAGCTAATTTTAAGTGGGTTAAATTGTCCTTTGTCACCAAATGACTTTCAAAGTATGGTAAGATAACCATTTATTGCAACTTCCTACCAGTTTTCTGGCTGTGGGAAATGCCTCTGAGAAGGGGTGGAAAAAAAGGGGGGAGAAAAGAACGCTATGAAAATATTCAAACCACATAACAAACGAACAGAGCAAACCAAGAGAGATGTTACACAGCAGTCACGAAGGCACACCAGCACACGCATGCACTGTACCAGAGTCTCCCATACTTGTTGCAGAAGAGGGAGTACTGCAACTCAGCAACCAGTCTGCAGTATTTAACACAGTCATGTTGTCTCCTGAGAACAGGAATGGTATAACAGCAGTTCATTCTCCCAACGTCTGTTCAGTTGTATGTGAGTAGTCTTCAAGGCAAGTTAAGTTGGTTTTGCAATTTGAGCTAAGTCTTTTAACTGCATTGTATGGTTTTATGAGTATTATTTTAACTGGTTTATTTATGCAAGTATAATATAGAGGCATCTAGTTATTGGTGTTCGTTAATGATACGCCTGAAGTTTTCCCTTCCTTTTATGCCAGAATAAGGATTGTATTTAAAAATACAAAAACGTTGAACCTTAATGGTTCAGCCCTTCCCTCAGAGCTCTCTTATTCCCACACTCAAAGGCACTTTTTAGTGACATTGACTTTTCTTTTTTTTAATAGGAATAAGAAAAAAAAAAAAATATTAAAGCTTTACATTGTGGACAGAAAGAGCAAGCTAAAAACAGAATTTCTTGGTGCCAACTGTTAAAATAGACAGAAACATACGCAACCCAAAAAAAGAGGTCTGAAACTTTAGCTTGACTTGTATCCATGGTCTCTCTCTCATGGATACAAACAGGAACAGGACTCCATCTCAGAATCTGGTACCCAGTCTCCCACTGATTCAATTCACTTAAGGCAGAATCTGTTATCTGAAAGCACTGGAACATCTCTGTTGTAGCTGTGTGGTAGTGCTGTTCATACAGTAACAGATACAGCAGTAATGATCAGTTACTTTTGTGAAAACCTAAAAATCTCTTTACAATAAACTTTCATTATTTGCAAAGAAATGGAATTAGCATGTTCATCACATAAAAATATTACCTAAGCCTGATTTTGATGTACTTCTTTTGACAGAGATTGTAAATTAACCTAAATGTGTGTAGCTCAGGGTATAAGAGTAAATTATTACCCAGCACTGAAGTATTATGTAGAAAATTGTATGTTTCAAGTTACTAGCAGGTTTAACCAAACTTTTAATACTTTGTTTGAATCAACCATTTCAAGATTTTAATTGTTTCACTTTTGCACAGTTCTGCCTCTTGCTTCAACTGGTGTCAGACAAAAAAGTGCTGCTGGAATTAGTAGATTTACACTGGTATGGCTGCCAGTTTATCATAATTCCTGTTGTGCTTACACTGTCTTTACGTTCATCCTTGAATTTCTGCTTAAAAATGTGTTGTGACTGAAAACTAGCCCAAAACTTTCAATGTGCCAGTAGTGTTTTATACTTACCTCCTGTTCCATTTGTTGTAACTGATGTGCTACTGAGATTAGGTTTATCCAGTTTGGAACTACCCGGTGCATCACTGCTTCCAACAAGATTATGAGGACTGGCTAGATCTTGCATTTCCATAGACCTGTTAAAGAAGATGGGAACAGTATTTAAATGCATTGTGATTCTATCTGTAATCATCTGCTTTTTTTGACGACACTTTTTTTTACTTGGAGAATTTAATGCAGCCAGATTAACAAGTCAATACAAGTTCCTTAAAAGTCATCTTTGCCCTTTACCAAACCAAGAAAACTAGCTAATAATTTGATGTGAACAGCAACAACACCCATATATTTCACTTTCCTTTTAGATATTATGAAGTAAATGACAGAGGCTCATGAAACTGCTCAAAAAGCTTGTAAAAGATGTGCATGAGGGAGAGTGTATAAACAGACAGACACCTGGAGGGATAAATGGATAAATGCGTGCATGTAGGTATTTCTTAGAGAAAAACCGAGACATTTCTTGGATGAAAACAAAATTAAGTGAAATTAAGTAAAAAGCCAGTTATTGCACAAAATGTCAGAATAGGAATTTCTGTCTCCCGTTATCTGTATCTACCAGCAGTCACTGCATCCACACCAAAACATAGGAACAGATAATCTATGTGAATGACCAGTACTGAAAGATTTTTCACTCTTACAGAAGCATATATTCTCAATAGTTACTTGGTGTCTTTTTTCTTCTGAGATATTTCTAGGACACTAGAAAAATTTCAAGTGTATTTAGACTGCAATGGATTTCAGTGTCATAATTGTACTGGGAGACTGTGGAAAGCTTTCATTCAGTGACAACATACCTGCCTTTCTCAGACAATGCAGGCAAAGTAGACAAGGAGCATTTCTTGCTAGACCGGTAATTGCAATCCAATTTGCAGTGACTGCTTGACTATCCCTTGCTTCATTTATGAATTAATTACACAGATTTTTTCCCCAAAGAAATATTTCTGCTATGTATAAGCAAAGTTGCCAGCCCATCTGCAACAGGAGAACTTTTTACCATATGTATACTACAAAGGCCAACAGAAAGATTGTCTTACAGAGCTGTGAAAACGCAGTTACATTGTAGAAGACTGAAATGGCTAGGAAAGGGATGAGCAGTTGGGATAGTTAAATAAGAATAACTGCTCCTGTATATTTATATTCTGACCAGGAAAACCAGTGGCAAACTGTTAATGCAACAACCAGATCTTACATATGTATTGCAAGTTTCACATTTCACTTTGAAATTACTTATCTTCCATGCTGCACACATCCTCCTCTTGGGACAAAAAAAAAACAACAACCCAAAACATCCAACCCCTCTCCAAACCCCAGCATCTTTCAATCAAATACGGGTCTGTTGTCTAAATCTATTTCCTTCCTTCAAGATAAGGAAAAGAAATAAAACCCACATAATGAAAAGATCTCCCCCAAATTTCATTGATCTCCTGGATGCTTTAGCTTGCCTCTCATTACATTCACTTAACCCAAGACACAGATTCAGAGCTTTAATGTCTTGAATATGTCCCAGGAAATGTAGCACAATGCACTGGAAAATGCATCAAGGCCTTACCTAAAGGCACATGAATCAAAGAATCTCATTTACTCTGGTAAACACTCAAATCAAAGCTGAGATGCACTGATACTCCACTGTCAGGGCAGCCTCCCAGCAGCAGTCTAGATGAGCAGGGGAAAACTGCTATTTCAGGAAGCCATGCAATAGCAGGTAAGAATTTTATAGCCATATTCAAGGAAATGCAAAGGCATAAACTGAGATCTGAAATACTTTGACCTGGATTTCTTTACCTAATTGTTCACACGTTTCTATAAATTTGTCAACAGTGCACTGTATTTATTGTCTACTGGAAATGTGATCAGTGTTAAATGAAATAAAATACAATCAAGCGGTTTACAAGTCCATCAGTTTTTGTTTAGTAGTTCCAGTACAAGGATAACAGCTAAAGGTTAAAAAAAGCCTGTGAGTTTCCGTTTTGCATGTGTTTAAGGGAGCAGGAGAATGCTACACAAAATAAACAGTGTTTCATTGCATATACAGTGTAATACTCCCCACGTGTTCACTTAGCAGTTTCAATGTCATGATTTCCTGTTCAATATGATTTCCCCACAAATACCTAATGGGCAGTTCTAGCTTAAAAAGTTCACAAGTGTTTTTTTTTTTGTTGTTTAGCATGAAAATTACAATAATTTCTTTTCAGACAGGCATATATCATGGCCACAGATGCAAATGCTTCAGCATTTCATAAGCAAAATTGTCGATTTACCTAGCTAGTGTATTTAAGAAGTATCCATCTTCAGCACTTCTCACACTCAAATGAGTCAGATTTCTTTACTTGGATCAGATTTTGTTCATCAGAAAATTAAATCCACTGAGACTCATTTGCTTGGCAAAGAATATAAGCAGTCAAACTTTGTAAAAGGAATAGTTTTTGATCCATACCAGCAGTAAGACTTTTGTGCAGAAAAGTATTTTATTTGCCTTACATTTGTTTTCTAAAGCATATGGTATCCCAGTCCACAGACACAGCAAATTAATGAACTAATACCATTTTGAAAGTAGTGCATTTACAAATTTACATTTTCTCTTAATGAGAAAAAGACATCTTGCACTTATTGAAAGTCTAGTAAGGATAAAATGATATCCAAACCAACAAAAAGTTTCACAAGACCATGTGCATACATTATACTTATCCTGGGTGCTCTATACTGTGTGAACAAGCAAGGGGATTGTTTTAATATATTCCTATGTGATTTATTTATTGAAGTGCACATGTGACCTTCTGTGTAACAGATGTCATTCAATTCACATTTCTGGATGTATTTGATTTACCTTTAGCCTAAAAATTCCCGGGAAGATGTAACAGCCCTGCTAAAATCTTAACAGTTTCAGTGAATGGAGGATTCAGGAAAAATGGTTAATAAAATGGATGAAATAATTCCAACATCTTGAATTCATTTTGTCAAACTAAATGTTTATCAGAGTCCTGCTTTCATCGAGTTAATCAGAAGCAGGTTTGGGTTCAGTATGTGTTTTCCTGCTCTAAAAAAAGTCAAAAAGAGTGATCTCTGAAGGACCAATTAATACTTCTAAATTTATGCAGCTATTTATTGAAGACTGTTTTCTGGTAAATGCAGTGCATTTCAATTTAAACAGAATAAAGCTTGCTGTTAAAGCTGCTTAAAAACCTACATCGTACAACTTTATTTTCCATTTTTTGCCCCTCTGCCAGGCACGCAACTGTTTGAGATTTAGTTTTCCCCCTCTTGCACTGTGTTAAGCTACTTTTTACAGTAACTGATTAAAATGCTAAGTTGTAGCAAATGATAAATTTCGAGAGGAAATGGATTACTTGGTAAGATGTTTTCATTTTGTCTTGACTCTTTGTTTGAATAACATTAGAAGGATTTCAATCTCCTAAGCAAAATCCTGAAATCTGGCAAAATGTTTTGCCTTTTATTCTGCTTTGGCTATGCTTTATGTCCTTGAAAACTGGATCATTTTAGAGGCTTACTGGAAAAATCTCTAAAATGTCCCATTTCACAGAACGGTCTCCCAGCTCCCTGTGGTCTTTAACTCCAACCTTGATGTGAACAATCCTACCAAACTGAAGAGCATTTGTATCAAAAAGATGGCTGCACAAGAATCCTGGACCTTCTACTTTAGAGCACATTTTGTTTCCTGAGCTGAAGTGACATCTTTTCAAGGGTTAACCTATGTTCAGAAATTGGCTAAGGAACAGCATCCAAAGAGAGAAATTCCCACCACTCCATCTTTACATAGGCAGCCAAAGAGATCTGGTGATACACCCCAGACCACCAAAGTGCACAGCCCAGCATCATAACCCAACCTTGCACAGGAAGGTTTAAGTATGGCTAATTATGATTGCCCAATTTGACAAGTGTATCACTGTATTTCTGTATAGCTTTTGCTTGCATTATATTAAAAGTTAAAAGGTCAAACCTTGCTTCTAGGGTTGTGTTTTTACGATTCCTTTTTTTTTTTTTTATTACAATCACATTTGTGCTCTGTTTTTCTGAGTCAGAATTAAAATCTATTTCCAGAAAACTTGAGCTGTTATAACTTTGTTATTCCATTTGCATTTCCAATTAAACTACTATAAACATGGACTAAGGGCTGGGTCCTTACAAAACTCAAAAACTCCATTGATTATTCATGAATTCTACAGGTAGATAATATTTAGATAATTTTCTTCTTTAAAGAGATCGTATTTTAAAATATAAACTTTTTTACCACATAATCTACTTTTATTGTATTTCACTTTTTTACTAGACTGAAAGTATGAAACCATTTATCAAAGATTTATAAAAGAATAAATATTCTAATGTGAAAATAAGTATTTCAGATCCTAGTCTAACCAGAACATTTTACAAATACTGATTCCTCACTGTGCAGAATTGGCAGCAAATCCAAAATGAAACAGAATTGAAAGAGGGACTGCTAAAGGCTATTTAAAATTGTATAATTTTATTCAGTTTACAAATTAATCAATTTAAATGTTTTTAAAGGATTTTTCTTTTAAAAATTATTTGATAGGAAATTCTCCACATAATTTTCTTTAGCAGAATCTTTACTAAACTTCATTGTGGAAAAAATGCACATTCTCTCTGGTTACTTTTCCCCCTGCTTTTCTTATATCCCTCCTGTTGTAACAGTTCCTACATATCCCAAAGTTTTACACTGAAACCTGAAACCTTGTCCCAAGTAAGATGTGAGCTACCTTGGAGCTTCTGAAATTAAACATGGAATTTCCCTTTATTTAAAATTAACTCTCAGAGCAATATGAAAGCTCAAAACAGAGGTGCTCAGACTCTGCTAAATCTGTTTCCTACTGCTGTCAGCTCAGCTCTCCGGTCAGCTACAGTTTTGAAGACAAGTGGGGTGGGTTTTTTTTCATTTCCCACAGAAATTGTTTTAGCCCGGTCATTCAACCATGTTCTGAACATGGGTAGTGAACCCACCTCTCCTTCATACATGGTCTGAACTGGCTCATACAAGCCTTCCACTCTGACCAAAAATCAGAATGGATGCACACACAGAGATTTCTTCAGTCAAATCAAATCTACA